TAGCTATTTTTACAATACAGAACACGGAGTGTTGCATAACTTATTCAAAGGCCGGAAGATGTTAAATAATTCAGGTAAAACATAAATAATATTCAGCATGGAAGATAATACAGATACACACACACACACACACACACACACACACATACATATATATATATATATCAAGTGCTCTGATAGAGCACTGAAAAGAAACACTCATTTTAACAAAGACTGTTCATATCAGCTGTGACAGATGAGCTCAGAGCCGCTCTGTAATTAGTAAATGTGACACTGCCATCTACAGGAGCAACTTAAGGAAACAGGCTGATGTCAGCAGTCAATAGATGTTTAAAGGATTCATGTAGATGAAAACATTACTTCTACAGACATGGAAAGTAAAGTAGAATTGTTGGTTTGTCTGTTTAGGTTTTTATTTGTATGAGGCTCAAACACTAATTAGATGAAAGCTCTTTGTTTTAATGTGACTTATGTTACCCTGGGAGGTCGGGTTTGAACTCGTATAATTACAGCTCAAAAGAAAACTGATGAAATCTTTTCATTCTTTATTATTTGTTTGAATTAATGCTCACTGGGTTTGAGAATGTATAAGGGAGAACTTCTGATCACCTCCAGTAGAGAGCAGCACACCAGCATTAACCATGACCTTTTTGAACAGTGTTTATACACACCGATCATCAGTTCTCCTTGCAATGAAGAAAATATACAGAGAATCATAAATAGACTGCGTTCATGTGTTACCTTCACTCACAAGGTCACTGCAGACTCTGCAGGCCTTTTCTCTGCGCCCTGCAGACAGCCTGTTGAAGCCTTTGTCTGCAACTTCCCAGAATTCAGGAAGCTTTGTCTTCAAAAAAAGCCCTGACCTGGAAACTCCCACTGGTGCCTCACCCCAACTGTCCCAAGTCCTGCTTCCTGCACAGGTCCAAAACCGGTTTAGTCCAAAACGTTCATTTACCAGGTGTGTATTTTACATAGCCCCCACGCCTGTTTTACACAGACACAAATGTTCAGCTTTTGTATTTTTCGCCTGTGTTTCTTTTTCTTATTGATGTTCACCAGTTTCCGTTTCGGAGGTTGAACCTGCATGCAGCAGCTCGATAAGCCTCAGATGCTCGTCAGCAGAGCTCAAACATGCAACTATATTTGTACCTGCTAAAGTCAGAAGATGTGTCCAAACCCTGCAGACTTTCAACCAAAAGAAGTGAAAATTGAACATCATGCATTATAAAAAAATAAAACCTTTGGTCACATGCCATGCCCATTGGAAAAATGCTTTCTCCACCTACTCCCATTAAAGAGCTTAAAACATTAGAGGAAGCTGACACTCATAATCTGCAAGGCAAGACCTTCTGCCACCTGGATAAGACTGAAAAAGAATAAGAAACACACACTGCCTCCGGCAAGCTTTCATTAACAGTATAAAGCCATGGACACATTTTTTTTTAATCAAATGCATTTTATACCCGTGTGAAATTTGGAAAATGTATGCAGGATGCAAATAACTCTCTTTAAAGCCACGGAGAACGTCTCTTTGCTCGGTGCATGTGTGTGGTATCCACACTTTGCCTCCGGAAACAGATTCCTTGCTTCCAGTTGTTTGAAATTGTTTGGGTAGAGTCGGCTCCTTAAGCTTCAAGTGGCTTTGCAGTTTATTCCAAGCAGGCTGAGCAGCATAAGCTCTTTTTCACTTCAGGATTTACGGATGGATAGAAAGAATAGGTCTCGGGAGCAAAGACAATGTTCCACCTTCATCTGCTTTTTTGATGGATTTAATGTAGGTCAGGAGACAGGATGAAAGCAGCTGAACATGATTTCCTCTACCTTTAAAAAAGGCTCTCTGGATAAGTCGGGGTTCGAAGGGTTGTGATTAAATTGATACATTCATATAAATGGTATCATCTTGATCCAGCACAGATATGCAAGCAGAAAAAATATATCAAAATCACCTTTTCTGTAGTTGCTGAACACGAGCCCTAAGGTGGGAGCTGACTTAAACTGGAAGCTGTCCATAGCTGAACACAAAAGCTTACAGAGATCCTGATCCGGTCAACTGTTAATAACCACTGAATGCAAAATAGAGGACTGAAATTATTGCATTTAGGACTGATTTGTCCTTAGGGTTTCAAGCTGTGGAGGGTTGTAGTGTCACATTATGGTGAGGAGCTGGGCAACACATTGTCCATACTTCCTGGTTTCCCAGACATGCTTTTGGTGACACTGTGATGTTCACCCTAAACTGCAAATGACTTAAATGCATGCCTTGAAAGCACCAAATTGTGAAACATAGTGGCATGTGACATGGCCATTCTGTTTCAGTGGCTCTAAAAGCAGTTGGGTAGAAGCTGTTTTTCAGCCTGTTTGTCCTTGCTTTGCACCATCTGCCTGATGGCAGCGGCTCAAGCAGAGAACGGCTCTCCTGGGCCAGTAACAGCCATGAAGGTTCTCCACTGTGGGAGGAGGGCACCCGATGTTCTTCTCTGGAGCTCTTTCCTGTTTGCCTCCATGCAAGGAGCAAACAAGCTCCACTGTCCACCTCAAGGGTGATTCCTCGGTAGGGCGGTAGTTACAAACTGAGAGTGCTTCTCCGCATCTGTAAAACACTTAATGGATATTCCAAGAACAGATGATGGCAACAGTCTAAGTTATAAAACTTGAAACCATAAGATGCCTTCCCCATATACATTTAAACAGGTCATTTGTTTTGCCTATAGCCGCCTCTCAAGAAAGATACTGAGATGAATGTCTTACCTACAACTTGGGGAAAAACAGACTCAAAACCTTTTACATGTCGATAATCAAAGAGAAGGCCACTGATTTTCTAAAGAAGGATTTTAAATGAATTGATTAGAGCAATTTAGTCCTATGACTTGGAGCTTGATGATGTCATCATTGCTATTAAAAGAATGAGTCTGTTTTTCCCAGTTCCTTTCAATTATCTTTACATCAGTCTTTTCAATCACCTCCCCGGTCATTTCTGATGTTATCTGTTTTTCCCTGTGGCACACATTAAAAAAAGGAAATGAACAAATAAGCGTTGTACATAGAAATGAATAAAATGTCATTTTTACAAAATGAGAATTTGGGGGCTATGCGTGGAGATAAGAAAAAGGTCAGATATATCCTCACATCTTACTCTACTCACAAACATCCGGGTTTCTAATGAGAGAAATATCGTCCTCGTTTTCTGACCCAATTCTGCAGCAGAGCCCCCGATCACGGCAACATGAAAGGTTTTCCTCATCACGGCATGAGACAAAAGCACCGAGGGGCTGCAGAAGGTGCAGAAAACTTTGCAGGGACGCCTGCTGATGGTTGGGCTGACGTGGAGAATAACTGCAGCAAAGTCGTTGTCAGCAGGCTTTTCACAGATGCCGCTGACTTGAAAGAAGAAGGCCGACCTCTGGAGCCTCACCGACGCTTGTCCTTCAAACTAGGACATTCAAAGACAGTAACAAAGGCTTTCTGTGCTGAAATTCATTCACAGGACTTGACAGAGTGAACTGCAGATTTGTGGACGCTGTAAAACAGGTTGTCTGTGGGGCTTCTCTTTGTATTACAGTTAGACAAAATGCTGCAAGTGTTGCTTTGTCTAGCATGCATTTTCCAGCTTTTCTTCTCCTGGAGGAGGATTTCTGCTACAGTCACGGCTTTGTTTCCCGTCCACATGGGTGGAAACAGGAGAATTGCTCTCGGTCAAGTCTTCAAGTTACAACACGAGAGCTTCATCAGTTGATGTAATTGTAAAATCAAAGTGATGTGATGGCTGTTTTTTGTCTGTTTAACAAAGGACAGCAGAGAAGAGAAGAACTGTGAAGGTGACAAAGAAGAGGAAAAATCTGTGGATTTACATGTAAGAAAGAGAAGATTGCTATTCTTATGTAATCCAACAGCAGGCACTGATTTGATTTTGTATTATGTCAGAATCTTTCTTTACGGGGACAGAAGTTGATCTAAAAATACACAAACTGATCTGTTTGCATTATGTGGAAAAACTCAGCTCCACAATTGTTAGAAATATGAATAAACCACATCCCAGTTGGCTGTAAACTCATAAACCAAACAATCCTTTTGTGCATGACAAAGCTCTAACCTGCTTTCAGGGGTTAAACTTTGTTCAGAGACAGTGATTTTCGAAGCTTTTGTGATCCCACGCTGTGATTTCTGTCATATTAATATCTGTGATGTCCGGTTCTGATGCCAACTGAGAGCCTCAAGATCAACTGTTGTTCAATAAAATGTTCAGATGGTATGATGAACTGATAAGAATGTCTGGTTCATATTTAAAACACAATGAGATTTTGGATGCTGTGTTCAAATGCTAAGCCTTTTTCCATCTTTCCTCCTCTGATATACTGCCGTGCTGCTCTTGCACCCAACAGGTTAATCCAGTCAGCTGCATCATAATCCTGCATTTGTTTTAGTTGATTTTGAAGCTGTTGAGTGAAAACCATATTTCTTTATGAGTAAATCCCGGCTGTCAGTAGTAGTACTATTTATGTTCTGAACAATTGGGGTAATTTCTGTTCTAAACAACTGGGGTCACTGGGGTTGAACTTGAAAGCAGGAATCATCCCGGTCATGCAGAAACAGTTTTCGTTGATGCAAACCTTGATTTGAGCACATGTCCAGACACCCCCGCATCAATCACATTTGATGGCATGTGACAAAGCCTCTCTAAATTGTCTTTTTTCAGTGAGGAGCATCACTTTGGGATCGTTCGGCCTCCTCAGTCTCGATCGGGGGTCATTATCAAAATGACTTCTGACACATGCCTGCTTTGTTTATTGTCTTGTTGTTCTGGGTGTCTTGACTCTGTCTGAGGCCAGCGTTGGACGGCGATGGCTCAAAGCACATATTGGATTATGTGAGGGATTAGAAGCCCAGGATTAGGCCCCGGTGCTGGATCTGCATGGGGGCTGCGTGAGTCTGCCTCTCACAGGGGTGTGTTAGGGTGAAACATGTGTGTTTGAGTGGGAGGGCATTGAAAGTGTGTTGGCCCAGAGGCAGCAGAACACAGCTTATCTCCTTTGGTGCTATTGTTTTCCACAGCGACTGACAACCATGAACCTGTTCTGCTTCACACTGGTAAGACCCGGCTTCCACGTTGCTGTAGATAGTAGGTATTTTTGTTAGGGGGACGTTTTTCGGTCCTGCAGCTTTAACGGAGCTGGTTAGCAGAAGGAACGTAATGTGCCGCTGTGGGAGTCTTTGCTGATGTTATTGTTACTGACAAGGATCTGAAACGGTTTCTCTGGGGGTTGAGACAGAACTCCAAACAACTTTCTTTGAAAGATTCATGAAGTTTCTTAATTTAGTCTTCCTCTTCACGGACGATTACTCTCATGAATGGCTTTATGGAAGTGAATAACTTTGTCAACACAACTTGTGATGCAGTATTTGGCAATGACAGAAAAAGAGACTCACCGGGCGCGTGACATGATACATGTGTGTGTTCAGGAAAGGGTGAAAGCTGATCAGTCTGAAGTTGGAGCCAAAGAGTACCAAAGACGCTGATATTGTGCACATTTCAATGGTTCTCAGACCATAATGGGCAGATCATAATGATCACAGTGATAATTATAATAACCACATAGATTTTGAATGCAGCAACTTTGAAAAAGAAAAATCCAAAAGGATGTTCTGCTCTCCTGGTGACGGCGTGACAGATTTATGTCAGTGGTTACATAACTGATCCCCATTAGAGACATCTTACAAAGTGTCGTGTAAAGTTGATGTCACAGCATGACAGCAGTGACCAAGGCTCAATTTGTCAAAAGTTAGAGCTTTTATTTATTCATTGAGCACTTCAGTCATTTTTAAAGAATTCAGGAAGTTGGTCTTGTCTTTCCCTTTGTTTAAGTTTTTGTTTTTTAATTATCGGTTTTGGAAATATTCAGTCAGGAAAAGAAAGCAATGATTAAAAATTTGCTTTTAAACTTAAAGTCTTTATATAATCTATGAAATATAATCTGTATCTTCTTTGGCCTCAGACTGCACCTGGAAGATAATTTTTTCATCAGTTATGTTGAATTCAGTACATTTCTCTTTGCTATTTGATTATGGTATCCTTTGAGTTTTAGTTGGAACATGCACCAAGATTGAAATGGTTCTCTTTTATTCAAACCAGTTTTATTAATGTGGCACCTAATCAAAATAAGTGTCTCTCTGGGCACTTCATAAGTAAGGTCCAATTCAAGTCAAGTGGAATCAAATCAATTGCAATACAATCAAAATCAAATCAGTTCAAGGTTAAAAAAAAGAAAAAGTTCCAAAGAAATCCATATAATGGATAATGATAACAAGACATGTCTGACTTCCTGCTTGGTTTTACACATTAATACACTTTGATAGAGTTAGAAAACAAACAGTTTAGAGTTTACATATATAAATACATGTAAACTCAGGCTATGATATCATAGAGTTAATTGTTTAAACGGTGGAGCTGGACCATCATGGATGCCATGCAGCTGTTTTTTGATGAAGTCACAACGTATTTGAACATAGATATTTTCTTCATTTGCACAAATAAATATCCCACAGGGGCTTTTCGGTGAAGAGGGTGTCTCAGTCCAAGGCCTATGAGCTCACCCTGGTTTTAGCCAACTTTTGATTTCAAAGCTTTCGGGCTACATTTGAAAGTCCCTGTCCCAGAAAAAATTGGCAGATAGACGAAATGACATGCAACAAAGAGCCACAGGCCAGACCCTGAACCTGGGCCAGTTCAACCAGTTGAGTCTAGATCTTGATGTAAATTTTGTGTTACTGAGAGAAAAATAATCCGCTTTAGATAAGTTTCTCTCATGAGGTTATCAAAACTCCTCCTTTTAGATATGATGGCACTGGCCCTGTACCAATGGCACTTTATGATACTTTACATTATCAAACAAAGGCAGAGTTTCGGTTATTCGGTAGCAATGATGGAACCCATGAAACATTAATGAGATACAGATCGCCAGTTGGATAAATTAAGCACAACAGTGTTTTGTTACAGGTGATGTCAGCATGCGGTCTCTTTATTTTGGTTCCTCAGGAGGGCTCCACAGAAAGCATTTATGAGCCGGCGTACAAACAAACACTTGTGGAAGCCAAGCACCAGCACAGTCCCACACTTCTGAGGCACAAATCTGAGTGGGGCGGCTCGGATCCTTCCATCCACTATGTAAGTTTGAGGAAAAATTATAGAAATGCAAATCCCTGCTTATTTGAGTCAGTTCAGAACTTCTGGTATTGATCTATCAGAGGTCAGTCTCCAGAAACCATAATTCAGTTTGGGGGCTTTTCTCTGATGGGCAAAGCGATAAAAACAGCAGCCTTAGAGAGGTCCGGTGTTTTCACTAAAAGGTTCTGTTTGTCTTTGTTTCTCTGTGGACCGACCTCAGAATAACACCAAATTAAAAAGGGACTGCAGAAGGTAGGTGTTCATAAGTCTTTGGTTCGTTTCACTTCCCTACTGGGAAATTAAAGTCTCTTTTAATGTTCTTTGTCACTTAAGGTCATGTGTGCTAACTTCAGCCTTGGAGGATGAAACATCAGGTTGGTGCAACATTATAGACCCAAGATTTTATGCCCCATCTTTGTCCTTGTTCAAGCGAGTCACTGGAGGCCTGTATTGATCATCCTGAGCTGTGTCTTCTCTGTTAAAACACCCTAATAGAGCAGTAATGTGACAGGAAGCTATTTTCCCCCCATCATTTCCTTTCTCTTGTAGAAAGAAATTAACCCCATCGACTTGCTGTCTTAGAGGACCAAGGGGGACTTATCAAAAGGAAGTTCAGTACAGAAGAACAGACATACATGAGCAAAACCTAAGTGCATGCTGGGAAACGCACTCCACTGAGACTGAGCATCAGCACTAGTTTATGTTCATTTACCAAAGAACTTCCCAGAGTTGGAGTCTAAACTGCATGAACTCAAACTGTAGGAAGTGTTGCAGTAAAAAAGATGGCATTTATCTCACATTCATTCTCATTTGAGTGATTTTTTAGTACTATTTGAAGTTAGAAGAGTGGAAACATGTTGTCTGATGTTCTCTCTCCAGCTTCCTGTCAGAGCAGTCAAAGAAACGAGACGGTGAAGGAGCTGGTTTCTGAGAAGACACTGGCAGAGACACCTGCTGAGGTAACACCACGATGCCGTGAGCCTGACGCACCTCAGCGTTACTCTGAATAGTTTGAATGGGATTAGGTCGTCCATGCCTCGCTGATATCTTCATGGCAGCACGCCGGCTTTAGAGCCTCAAATGATCATTAAAAAAGCCGTGCAGATGGCGGAATGCTTTGTAATCCCACACACACATGGCTGGCAGACAGGCAGGTAGAAAACCTGACCGGGACGAAGTGCACGTGCTAGTGCATGTGAATCAAATGAATGATCGGCCTTACCTCACCTTTTACACTGTTACATAACCATGAACACCAAGAAAACAAAGCAGATTGTAGTGAGGTATCATCAGGGATCAAATCAGTTGTTCATTTAGATCTTTTAAAAATAAAAAGCACAACTATACAAACATGATGTCACATTTTTTTATTTGTTGGAGCAAAAATGTGTGTGTGTTTGAATGTGAGATAGAAAGAGCAAAAAGTCATCTGAGAAGTCAAACCTGGAGAGAGTGGTTGTTTGTTTAAACAAACCAGATCCTCCATCCATTAGAATATTTAATCTTCTTTAAGGTGTCCTGTTATGTCCACCAGCACTCTTTAATATGTCCTGATAATGTTTCACAAAGTGGACCTTGCACCTCATTGTGACTATAATTTTAAACTTTTAAACTTATTTTATTTGACTTTTTTTTTACCACGCACAGCTTCTTTAGGTATGTTGTTACTCCAATTGGATCATAAATCATCATAAACTGTGTCAAAACCTGTCCTTTTTTCATAAAGAGACACATTACAGATGAGCTAGAAATATGTGTGAAGGAGTGAGTGAACTTTACCTCTCCTTTTAGCCAGAAATGAAACTGGTTCAAATGACACCGCGGTGAGTGGTTTTTCTTTGCTGTTTCTGTTTGCAGCTCGGTGTAAGTGAACCTGACTCAGCGGATTCAGCGCATCCCGCAGGGAGACTGAAGAAGCTGCAAAATCTGGTGCAAGCGAAGAAGGGACACCACGGCAAATGTGAGAAATTCAACAGCCCGCCTGACAAATACGGTGAGCTGCAGCCGATAACGTCCCTTTGGTGATGAAAGGCGTGCTGAGCCGCTTACTGACGCAGGCCCACTCCGCAGATTGTTTGGCAGAGGTGGCGAGAAACAACAACACGGTGCTGACGTGCATCAGCCTGGGGAGGAGGACCGAGAAGCGGGCCTGTAAAAAGGCGGCCCCTCCCCAGCCGCTGCAGCCCCAGCCCAGCAGGGACGTCCAGAAAGATGCCCAGGAGGAGGGGGAGGCCTGGGGCCCCAGGATGGGACATCACCAGTGGAGGCCGTTCGAGTGCCAGCAGCCGTGGACTCCCTTCTATCACACCTGCCAGCAGGCGCGGCACGAGCTGTGGACCTGCGGAGGCAGCCTGTCTCTGCCTCGGACCTCAGAGTGGGACCGTTTCGAGAGCCTGATACAGGAGATGGACAGCAAACAGTCGGACATGTGTCTCCCACAGATGATCCGCTCCATCACGGATCTGCACTTCTCACAGAGCACCGTAAGAATTGGGTTTTACCACAAAGTGCAGCATGAGGGAAAAAAGCTGCTCCTAGATAGTCCAAAGAGTCTTAAATTTGCACCTTGCGGGGTTCGACCTTCTCATTGCAGCTCAGAGCTCCTAAAAGGAGCATTTAGACTTCCAGATGTGGAGTCGGTTGTTTTTTCATCAATGCTTTTGCAGTTTATTTTTCAAAACACAAAATTTGGTGGTTAAATACAATTTTCCTCTCCTTACACGCACAAACAAAAAATTCTTGGCTGTTTTTCCTGTCCCGTTACCACCACATACCACAGACACCAGCCAGTAAATAGTTTCATCTCTTGAACTTAAAGGATGATAAGCCACAACATTAAAACCACTAGCAGCTGAGGTGAATTAGTCCAGTAGCAGGATAACTGCTCGGGAATGACTCTCATCCAGTCTCCGAACTTAAGCCTGATTATCTGAGGCCCAGCCCTCCAATCCAAATCATCCTCTGCCAGTCACCCTCGAACACCCCCACCACAGGAGCCAAGTAGGTTGAAATGTTATGAAGCAGGTGATATCATAGCGCAGCATTATGCCGCTGCCTGCATCCATAATGAAGCGGGAATACTGCCAAAAAGAAATGGATGTCATGTAAAAGGAGCCCACCCTCTCTCTGTTCTGAGGTTTTCACACAGCTTTGATGGAATAACAAATTTAACAAAAAGTGAGCCAAGATGCAGAGGCAGTGTGTGAGAAGTCTCAGGAGCTTAGGTAAAGGCTGAGACCCTAACGAGCAGATCCTTCTCCACGGTCGGCTTACAACCGAAGCCTCTCAGAAAAGAGGTGAAACATCTTCAAGGTCCGATGACTGCCGAAAGCTGCTTCTCTAAGATCACGTTTTTATGCGCTCGGCATTGCGTGAAAACAGAGTGAGATGCTCGAAAAACTGCCAAAACTTCTTCTCACACATGTGGAGTTAATCATAATGTGTTTGATTAGCGGTCCCGAGAGGCTTCTTACCCCTCTAATCACAGTGGAAGCAGTAAAGATGGACCTAGCTTTTTCAACATAGTGTCTTTCCCAGATTTTTTTAGATAATAATTAGTATTTTGAAATATCGTGTCGATTATCTGAGGTTACATTTACTGAGGAGATGTAAATTATTGTTTTGTTACAATTTCTTAAAAACCTCATAATTGAGAGAGGGTGGACTTTCCTTTTAATAGAGCTGTATGTTTTCCTCAATGTACCACACAAAAAGCTACAAAAACCATCTGAAATGACATCAAGAATAGGAGGTGTATACTTTATGCCTTTAGAGAACATTAGCATGATCTTGCAAGTAAAAAATTTATAATTTTACTCAATTTCAGTGATTTAAATGATATCTGACAGGTAAGGGAAGCAACACTTCTCATCTTGATCTAATGCAGTGTTTTGCAGGGAAAACCTGCTTCCTGGGGATTCGTATTGATCTCACTTGACAAACTAAACATTTCTGCAGACCGGAGCTGAGAGAGCAGCATCAGTTTCCCACGAAAATGTGTCTTGCTGTTGCTTGTGGTGCAGTTAGGAACAAAGCGGAGCGTTAACTGTAACAGCATCGTAGATAATTAATGCCGGAGCATTTGTTATTTTTTTTGTTTTAGCAGTGGTTTTAACATTTGCTCATCCAACGGCTCAGTGCACGACAGTGCTGGGAAATGAGCCAGCAGTCGTTACAACAGATGCTCTGAGAATGACTTTATAACCAACGACTGAGCAGCTCTCCAAATATATTATATAGATGAGCATTTGTGATACCAGGGCAATGTACCAGGTATATATAGGATTTTGAATTAGCAATTCAATGAATCAATTATATCAAAAAGGACTGTAGAGAGGAACAAACATCTGTTGGCATGTCACGCTGTTAAGAGAAATGTTACATATGTTCAATAATTCAACAAAAACAAAGCTCAGAAAAAGCATGTGTGTCTGTGGAGGAGTTAGATGGCAGAAAGGGTTTAACCTAATTCAGTACACAAGCCATAAAGAGGGAATAAAAATGTTTATGCAGTAGGGGGTGACAGGAAAAACCCAAACATGCCCATCTGTCACCTCATAACCCATTTTCTAATCTCTCCATAACCCTAAATTCTGTTATTTGGGAGATTTCATGCCATCAGACAGCAACTGTCTAAAAGGAAAACATGGATAATGAAAATTGTCTGTTTAGGAAGCCGTATATCCTCCATCTGGCATCTGGTCCATCCAGGAACTCAGCTTTCTTAAATGAACACTGCTATGGCAGATCCTTCTTTTCACAGAGTGTTTGCTTGTTTATAGAAAAGGCCTGATCAGAATAGTGAGCCTATCAAGCCAAAAGTGCTGAGGAGGGAGATGGAGACCTCATCACAAAGTGACAGGAAGCACATTGAGGCCTCGGCAGAGAAAACACTGACAGCTGTCAGCGTAAGTAACGCACCACACAGACACTTCCTCTCACCCTGCATTTTCCCATGGCTCACATAAAATGGAAAAACATCTGTTGAAAACATCTGTCGTGGAGCAGACACAGCTGTCGACCCCACACCTGCACGGCTCCGAATGAGCGCTCCCTGCTGTGCTTCAGAGGGCTTTTCAACACCAAAGTTCAAATCAGCTCTCGAGAGCTACAAGGGCTGAAAATCCCAGTCCACATAGGTTTGGACCATCCACAGGCACGCTTCACAAGCATGCATGTTTGTTGTTCCTAATATAAACCTCATGTAAAGACCCACAAATAGACGAACACTGCTTATGTATATTGCTGATTCGGAAGTGTCTGCATAACAACCTATAGACCACATGTAACAATGTATGTATTTTTGCCATTTTAGATTCACTTAAATTTAAAACACATTTGTAAATGATCTACATATACCTATGTTTATATATATATACCTGTACTTCCATGTGACTGTGAGTTATTTTACTGTTTAAAATGTTAAAAAGCTGCAGAAAAACAAAAAAATCATTCAACATGTGCCAAATGGGGAAATGGAAACAGGAGTTAAAACCACTAACAGCCGAGGTGAATAAGGTGAAACAATTTAGGGCCTGAACAGGAACAGGAAGGGGAAAGCTAAGTGTACAGGTAGTCGGGGATTATGCTCCCCACAAACCTCTTTGGTCTCAACTATAAAAAGCAAGGAAACTCCCTCAGGATTAAGTGCAGCGAGTGGCTGCACGTCTCAGCAGAGACGGGTACATAAGCTGTCCCCTTTGTGCCATGACTCGGCTCTTCTGGTTGGCTGGCTTATTGTGAGACGGACAGAGATGATCTGCAATGTTTGGTAGATGGGTGTGACGTGTGTCTTGGTGTCGTCCTGTGCAGGACAGAGGCGTGCAGGGAGATGGAGGAGGGCTGGACAGGGCAGCTGGCTGTGGGAGGGCTTTGACCAAAAGACAGAGGCAGTCCAGAAACTCCCTGGAAAGCCTCTACAGCCTTAAAAGTGGACAGAGTTCCTCCAGTAAGCACCTACTGACACTGCCTCAACATGCTCATCGCACCACCACCCAGTGAATGACACAATCCCTGCACGTAGACTCATTTTCAGTAGAACTGATTCATGTTCCCACATCTGCTGACCATGCAGAACCTGAACCCCCGTCTTTTCAGAACCCATGATGAACTGATTTGCCCTTTACTCAGCTCTTGTCTTTACACTGTTCACCAGGCGGAGTGACCAGTGGGTCGGACTGCTCCAGTAACAGAGACAGTCTGAGGCTTGATGACGAGCTGCTGCTGACCAAACAGCTGTTTGGCAAAGCGAGGGTCCACACAGCATTTGTGCCAAGTCCATACGACTCAGAGTCCCTCAAACTCAAGGTACTCGTGTCATGAGCGCAAATCGTCTCAAAACACTGTTTGATTAAAGCAATTCAGTTACCTTTATAAAAGAAATAGTTATAGTTGGTAAATTCTTAATAAACCTTTTCATTCAGGTGGGAGACGTAATTGACATCATCGCCAAGCCGCCCATGGGAATATGGAAAGGCATGTTGGATGGGAAAATAGGGAATTTTAAGTTCATCTATGTGGATGTGCTGACAGAGCAGATCTCTGAGTTCCACCTGCAGAGGGAGCGACACAAATCAACCGTCAAAGAGGTGTTAAAACACCTCGGTTTAGAGGTATACAGCTGCTGTTTGTGCTTTTGCATCTCCAACACCTCACCCACAACGATTAGGAGCTTCTGAACGGTGCTTTTCCTCCCCCTATCAGGAGTATTCCACGTCCCTGCAGTTGAGCGGTTACGAGACCGTGGACGACTTGATGAGGCTGAGGGAGCACGACCTGGTGGAGCTGAATGTGAGCAATCCAGAGCACCGGCAGTGTTTGCTTTTCGCCATCGACTCCCTGCAGCGGCTGCACTGTGAGTACTGCCGACACGGTCGTTCAAAGGCACCCTCATCACTTTCATTCAGCAGCACAATCTTAGGAAATACGCTGAGACTTTGGGGATTTGGATTGGAAAAGGAAGGGCATGACAGTGCACCCCAGCTGGGTAAATCTAGGAAAGTGTGCGAGTCAAAGCCAAAGAGGTTAAAGATAGCTGGATAACCTAAAAGGGCATTTCTGAGAACACAGCATGAGGAGGAGAGGCGCCACTCTCTGATGGCTCTTTGCATCCAACCAAATGCTGTTCTCCACTTCACAGCCGACAGGGAGCTGGAACACGAGGCCAGTCTGGAGCCAAAGAGCACCAGTGAGGACTCGAAGGCGGACATGAGAGACTCCGGCTGCCTCATGACCTCCGACAGCCCCGACGGCGGCGAAGGGGACGCAGACCTCCCCTATCCCCTGGAACATCTCGTACCAGCAGACACGTAAATGTCATGAAAAAAATATATATTCTTCCCAACGCCAGATTCTTGTTACAGCAGTTTTTCTTCATGCCCATGAATTTATGCCCATGAGTGACAGCGAAAAAAGTCCCAATGTGTTATGTATGTCTGTCAAACCATTTGCTTTCTGAAATAAAAGGTCTGAGAAATCTGTTCCGTGTGGTTCAACAAGTCTCAGTGCTGCTGGTCCTTATTTCGATAAGGGCTTATTCTGTGTGCTGTCACATACTGGTCAATAACTTCTGCTTGGAAAAGTTCTTCATTTGCATCCATCTTTAAAAAACTTGTTACAGGTTACACAAACTGCAGATAGATTTAATTTGAAATATATTTAGTTGGAATATTAAAACCCTCACAATTACATTAGCTTTAATAAATATCTAGTTAATCATCAAGCTGTTATTTTAGCCTGACAAAGCTGCTGTGTGGAAAACCTAAGTGAAACAAAAAAGAATGCGTGCATTTTACCAAATCTTTGTTTAGATATTTCTCCCAAAACCAGTTTTATGCCACCAGGGGCCTCATCAGTGTTGGTACAAAAATTACAAATATTTGTTTTATTTCTGTTCAGTGGTTATTAACCCACAAGTGAACACATTTATATGGCTGTAGCCACAGCTATGTAGCGACATCCCTCTGTGTTTCAACTATGACCGTATTTTCTGCAGTGGATGTACTAGATGAAAATGGCTTCTTTCAGCCATGAGAAACAACCAGTGGAAGGTCATAATGAATGGTGCCTGGGGAGGACCGGTTAAATGATGACCTGAGAAGTCAAGAGTATTTATGACAGAACCCAAAAAAGAGCCAAGTTATGCATTTTATGAGGAAAAACAACCACTTTTTTTATTGAATAATCAATACGTCTGCAGCTAGAAGAGGCTCTAAGCTGAAATCAGTACTCCTACAAAAGGGAAAAAACCTCAAGACAAAACATAGTCTACAAATATGTAACAAAAAGGCAGCATGTGAACGATGTATTTCCTAATGACTACATGTAAAACAATCATGGCATGACAGAAAAGAGGCAGAAAACAGATCAGAACAGTACCAACAGCATTTTCGCCAAACCCCGTAAACACATGTGCCCTTTCTAGGTCTGTCACAGGCCAATGACGACCAGTTGATAAGAAATGTACAATGAAATATACAATGCATATATTCAAACCACACCAGTCATATTTACATACGTTTATAATACAGAAAAGTCCAATTAGAAAACAACAGAGAAGCGATCTGACAGCACTAATCTCTCTCAGACTTCTGCTAATCAGGTGGAATTTGGCCCATCGTTCATCACTAGCAACCGTATTTATTGAAAAAAAAAGAGAAAAGTAGTCTCAAATCACCTTTTGCTCCATCAGAATCAGTGCAATAAGACTTTGATTCATTTTTAAGCAAACCTCTTTGGTCATGAGGCCATAGGCACATACCAGCCATGTGTTTCCACTGATGAGGGATATTCTTCTTCTACACAAATAGCTGAGATAAAGGATGATTGACTATTTTTGATTGAGTTTGATTTTACATTTAGTCTCACACTGGATTATAAAATATAGTAAAGCCGCTTCAAATGTTGGGACTTCTATACTAAATATATATCCATGTTCTAAACTTAAAGAAAAGAAATAGGCCATAGAGAATAGTTCTCGGTAGTTTATACAGAATATAGTAGCTGGGATCCGATCTCATCAAAATCGTTTGATAATCGTTTTTTGAACATTTTGAAACCGTGATCCGGGATTTTCCAGAAGTTCCTGAGGTTTTTCAGCAGCCTTCGTGATTGAACCTCACATGACCGTTCTCCGGGTAGAGAGAGAGCTCCTCTGTGCTGCCCAGCCCGTTGTTAAGCTCTGAAAAAGCACAGAAAGACAGACATTTCTTAGGAATTCTACATGTTTTACACTGGCACTGCCACTTTTGTTGTCTTTGGAGTATTTACCAAGACTACCGACAGGCTAAAGGAATGTTAAAAAGCTGATAAATAAGGCTGTGTGTGCGTCTGGGGCACTTTGTTGCCCGCGTGAAGGAGAACGTTGCATAAATTGCCAACAGGAAGGCCGACCACACACAGACTCCTGACAGCGTACTGATTAAACAAGGGAGACAGAGAGGGTCATTCCAGCTCAGCTCAGCCACCCCTTTCAGTGACTCTGTAAATGATCAACTTTCTTTGACATCGTTAAAGCCACAACTTCAATTCTCTTTGGGATAAACAAAGCAACATAAAATTCAGTTAGACTGAGATCAGAATGAATTTAGCTCCTCTAATGACTCCACACAACGGACGGTGTATAAAGACAGGAAGGCAAACAGCACTGCCACAGCATCAAATGTAGATTCAATAACAAGCCTGGCTTTCAAAGTTGTGTTTTTGTGTGCGAGACTCACCTGAGAATATGAGCTTCTCCTTCATGATGTTAACGTCCCGACTGGGCCGGCGGGCCACAGCACTCAGCATAATCTGCTCCGGGTTGTAGTTCTGCATCCCGCTAATCCGCCACCTGTTGCAGCGAAAAGGCACGAGAAGACCGATCAAACAAAAGGAGGCGGTGATACGCGGCCCGCGTTTACCATGCAAACAGACAGGGAGGAAGTAAACAAGTGAGGGAGAGGAGGGGACCCGCTTTGGGGTGCTAGGCATGAAAAAGCACAAGGACAGACAAGGAGGCAGAAACAAAGAGCGAGGCAGATGCAGCAGTTACCTGATCATATGATAGCTGACAGATGCCAGGGGGCAGCAGAGGAAGGTTGCATGCAGATCAGGCAGAGCAAAGGACAAAGAGAGAATGTCAAAGAAGGGAGAGGAGACAGGGAGACAGTAAAAGGTCGAAACATAGAGGACACGCATGGAAATACCCAGAAGACAAACACAGTTGGGGAGAAAAAGACAAAAGACAGAACAGAGCAGTCAGTGTGGAAGCGGCGGGTTTGACAGGGCTGCGCTCGCTCCCGCTCACACACAGATGCCGGTGTCAACAAGGTGCGTTCACAGAAAACACTCCTGACATTAGACTTCTGAGCACATGGAAATCACACAACCAGGTTGAAAAACGCTGAGAAAAATGTCATCAATCCCAGCATCGTGTGCCAGTTATCCAAACTTAAAAGGGCGAGATGCTAATTTGGAATATCTAAGCTGCGAGATCTGTGAGATTCAAACCGAGTCGAGTTTCAGACTTAACTTACTTCTGGAAGGTGAAAATGCCTATGACAATGGCGAGGGAGACCAGGTCTGAAGCGATCCAGATGAAGTTGTAAGCACTGTGACTCTGCAAGAGCACAGGGGGGGGGGGAAAAAGAGGATGAGTTTCCGATTGTGGCCACCAGAGGTCACTGCAGATGTTTGTGTCTCCTAACGCTAAGAAATTAGGCGAAAGGCTGCGAGGCAGCTGCTCTTTCCTCCAGATCCCTGCTCTTGTCTTGGTCTTGGCCTCTATCACAGGGTCCCGGTGTCCTCTCGCGTCACGCTGAGCTAATATTTGCTGCTGAGCTCCCTCATATTTCTCTGTGCCCTTGCTCTTAAGTCTTGCTGGGCCCTTGCCGGTCTCTGTCCCCTCTCCCGCTGTCACCTCGTTGGACTGGGTGACCTTGTCTGCTTGTGCGAGTGTGGTGACAGATGAGTGAGGGAGAGCCGTTTACCATGAGCCAGATAGGGTAAGGCACTTTTCGGAGGACTTGAGGGGCATCAGAGGACACGGAAGGCACCCCGCTACACCACAGAATGGAGTAGAGCCAGGGCTCGTTGACTGGGTAGATAGTCACACTCACATTGTTGGCCAAGTATTCCCTGGATTAAAAAAAAAATCACAAGGCCGGAAAAAAAAATCTATTATATAAGACATCATAAAGATGCTTAAGCTACCTGATTTATAGCTTTGTTTTATTTAACATTTGCAGATGAAAACGTGACCTGAGTGTTTTTTCCCAGTTGCTTTAAGATATCTACTGTATTGCTCTTACTGGATGTCTTTGTAGCTGATCTTGCTGTAGTGGAGGGTCAGACTTGTAATTCCTCGCTGCTTTATGTCCTCCACTGACAGCTTTTCGTTTGTGGTCTGGTGAAGCCCTCGCACCCTCCCCCTGTCCGTGTCAGGGGCCAGGGTCACCTGGGAAAACATGACATCATCGTGACAAAAAGAATATTCCACTGAGGCATCAGCAGAGATGAAGTGTTCACACGCTGTATGTTTGAATGCTCAGACCCAGCGCCTCACACTGAGAAAATGTTGGGGAGACGCAGTTCTCACCCTTTTCTGGGAAATCCCTGATTTCTGCAAAGCCCACAGCGTGTCCATGAACCAGCTCCGGAAGCGGGGGTGCTCAGGCGGAGGTTTGCGGATGTTGAGCAGAGCAGAGCTGTTGGCCCTGGCAGCCAGACGGAGCATCTCCACCAGGCTGCACACCGTTAGGTTCCCTATCCTGCTGCGATCCCTCGCCGTCAGGGTGTTCACCGTCCAGTAGGGGTCACTCTGGAACCAGAGGAGGGACACAATGGGGTTGAGAGTGAAAGCAACACAGAAACGTGCACTGTCCCAAAGCATTTAAAGCCCATTTGTGCTAAATGGAGGAAGCTAATGTCACTTTTTTTTTTAATCACATATCTAACTAAATATATGGACATATATTTCTAGAAATAAATCGCTCTAAATGAACTTTGAGACAACAGACAGAGATTTGTTTGAGATGGAGTGGAATTCAGCACCTCCAAAAACCAGTGGCCCGCATTCAGAGAGCGGATCTCTGTCCAGTTGAAGAAGGAGGCATCTTCATACCTCCTGGATGGAAAGACCTTACTGACATCTGTGGTCCGTTTCAATGTGCGGTCCCTCATGAGGAAAGGGACCCCGTCCACACTAAAGGGCACAGCAGAGTTACAGCTTCGCTTACAAGCAGTAAATACAGCACATGATACTCATGCAGTACGAAGACTTTACAGAAATATCACAAGAGCTACAATAAATGTGTCGACAACCGACTGAACTCTGATTTAAAGCCACAACTCAGCAGGTTATGTGAAGACAGACGACAGTTTTCCTACAAATCTTCCACTAAAATGAATAATTTCTATCCTATGGTCTACATCTAATCTCGGCTCAAATCTATATGTGGAACTTCAAACACTCCGAGTCCGTTAAATATAAATGACTCATCATTAATGAGCAATTAATAACCTGATGGTGACGTCTGCTTCCAGGGAGCTGACTCCATGCTGCAGAGCTCTGTTAAAGGACATCACAGTGTTTTCTGGGGCCAGCTAGAGCAAAGAGGAGACAGACAGGAGGACTTCTGTCAGCCACTGTGTGCAGAAAACACACAACAAGAGCAGGCGGTGGAACCAGAGAGACACTGTGTGTGCCGACAAATGGAGTCCTTCACTGCCGTGGCAGCTTGATGTGGGCGGGGCCGCCGCTCTGCCTGGGAATGGTTATACGTCAGAAAAATGAGGGCAGAAGCAGATGAGGAAGAAGAAAGAGAAAGTGGAGGGTTTGCAGTTTCAGATAAGGTTCTGTTCAAATAAACATTGATAAAAAGTTAACAATACAACTCCAACACACCAGAAACTAGCTTCTATACTACAGGTGGAATTTAACATGGCTGCTCCTCCAGCTCCGCGAGTAAATGTCAGAAACACAAAACAGTGCTATAAACCAAGCCAACAATGGCTGCTCGGCACGTTGTGCCCTTTTGAGACCATTTGTCTCTCTTTTTTCCAAAAAGGCTACATCTTTACGAAGTAGGACAAAGCGGAGAACTAAATCCCAAAGCTGATAATTAACCAAGACTCACTCCCATATCACCAAAAACAAACATATTTAACTCCCTTTTACTGTTTCTGTTTTTTTAGCATCAATGTGCTAACACGTGTACACGTCTTTTTGCAGGGCCGAGACTGGAGGTCCAAAGTCATATTCATGATATGTTCAAGAGAAGGTAATGTAATGGGAGAGCACGGAACCTAACGTTGCTGCTGGTCCAAAATTATTCACTTGTTGTATAAATATGTATACAGTATGTTAACATATGTCCATCCTTACATTTTTCATACCAACTTAATCTAAATCAGGGTTGTCCCAGCTGCCTTAGGGTCAGCGGGTAACCTGGACAGGACACCTGTCCACTACAGGGTCACACAGAGGCAAACAGGAACCATGCTGGCTGGGGTCAGTTTAACCAAACGTGCATGTTTTTGGATGCTGGGAGGAAGCCTGAGTACACACACAAACAAATGCTCCCATGCTGCATTTCTAAGCTGGAGCCCCCCCCTCCCCCATGGGGAGAACATGCAAGCGTCCCTGGATTCCTCTCCATCATGCAGCCTGTCAGAAGCTGAATGACTGCCATACACAGGAGAACATCGGTGGATTTTGCCTTTTCAACCTCTCCCTCCCAGAGGTGATGCACTTCATCCATTTCGACTCCTAAACGCGTCAGGAAAAGAACTTCCTGCAGAACCCAAACTCACCATGGGGGCTCCCCGCCGGCCAGTGATCTCTGGCCGTGGTTTGAGGGTGCTGCGATCCATGATGCAGGGGCAGGTGAAGGTGAGAGGGGCCGCGCACAGGGCCAGGAGGATCATGAAGTAAACCAGCAACACCACCACCTGGAAAGCTAAACGAAATGTTAAAACATGGAAACTTTTACACACAAAGTTGAGACAAACAAAAGCTCTGGAGGTTTCTCAGGGCTTGTAATGTGCATGTTTCAGCACGTTTCACATACCAAACAAACTCTGATCATGAGGTTAGTAAAATAATGAATAAGATCTTTACTGTAAACAGAGGAAAGAAGCACTGGATTCTTTACTCATAATAAAAAACAAACCAGGACTTACTGGATCTCTCTTTGCGGACCACATATCCAGCCACCAACCAGCTGATGGCAGTGACAGTGATCAGGGCTCCGATGTGCAGGTAAGGTGCTGTGGACTGGCAGCAAAAAAATTAAAAATGAAAAAGAATAAATGAAACCCCACTTCACCGCATGAAGCTGAGAGACCGGTTCGACACAGAAGCCAAAACAATGATGTTTTAAAGCCCCCTTTTAACCCGTACTGAGAGTAAAACTCTGGAGAGCAGGTGTAAAAATAGATTAAACTAAACTAAATCATTCCATTAAAGTTAAAATTAAGTTAAGTGAAATTAACTCTTAAATATGTGGCCCGAGTATAAAAAATTAATATAGAGGAATCTTAAAATCAATCTGGAACAGAACTGTATCACATATGTGTAATTTATGACAATATGATAAATTCATGTGATGATTTAAAATTTATTACAGAGGAAATCTATTTTTAAAAGTAATGTTACGATGTATTTGATATCATATTCACCAAATATGGAGATTTTTGTTTTTCTGAAGGCTTTTAAACTTAAAACTCACCAGTAATCCACCATCACAATTTTCAGCCACACCTTGTAGGATTTTAATCACATAACAACAAATGAAGTTCAATGGCTGGAGACCAACCTGCAGCGACACCAGCAGGATGTCCCACTCGTCTCCCCATATGTCATCAATAGAGACAATACCCGAAACGGTGGTGAGCAGTGTAGCCAACACTCCGATCTGTAGAACAAAGACACACAATGCAGGGCCCATACTGTGTTTCTGTGTGTGGAACAAGACTACATCCAATGAAGCATTCAGCAAAATTTTAAATACATTTTTTTTACCGCACCTTGTGAACCCAGTAGAGATTTAGCTGCTGCCCCAACGATATGTGGAAAAACGCTAAAATCTGAAGGAGAGGAAAGTCAGTTGTAGCTCCAAGGATAAATTTGGTGGTAAACTGGAGGTTTGGAAAACTCTGTTACCAGCAGGAATGTGATGTAGCTGAATCCCACGGTGGTGGATGTGAAGATAGGGACGGTCTCATCCTTCCACTGCCCAGACCGGTTGTAAACCAACCTAAATCATGCAAACAGAAGAGCTGAGCCTCTGTGCGCTCACATCAATGCTCACAAGCTGCCGACCGTACACATTTTCATAGGTCTTTCAGCCTGCTTGAATGTGCTACTTCAACAGCTTTTAGCTGATCAAAACTCACCTGTTGAAGTCATTGAAATCATTTTGAGCCACCAACCAGAAATAGGCCCAAAAGAGTAGCAGCAGGAAGGAAGTACACAGGATGACGAACCATGCACACTCCCACTGCAAAGCAAAACGAGCCGTCAGTCCCTGACTCATGCGCAAAACACTGTATCTTTGCTGGATTTTGAAACCTTTCAAACACTTATGTTTTAGTAAAAAATCCTTTAGTTTTCATCTCACTACTGCTTGCACAATGTTGTTTTCAGAACAGTTAAAAGTCTGTTCCTGGCTCTACATCCACTTATTTAATCTACTGGGTTTTCCATAATGGTGTTTGACGTCTGTCTAAAATTGTCTTGGCTTACATTGTCCTCACATGAAAAACAGTAAAACTATAAGAGAGAGTGCTCTCCTTTCACATGACAATAAAGAGCAACGCTTGAAACGGGGAGAACAGGATGGCTTCAAAGTGAAAGCATCTGAATTTTAAATAAACTGGATTTAATTTTTTTCCAATGGTCAGATTACCTTCGAGGCATCATCTTACTTTGCTAGCTAAAAAATATTATGAAAATTCCCACAGAAAATTATCAAGAGTTACAATTAGAATTGTTTACAATTAGAGCAAAGGCATGTATTGATCCAGTCATTTAGCTTCAAGTGAAAACTCGTACAACAACACTAATGTTTGCTGCCCTTTAGCATAGAAATACTAAATCATTATTTCATCAATCTACTTAGAATCTATCCCCAGTCATGACTCTTTGTTAACTGCAGTATTCAAATAAGCCATTTAACATTTGATAATTAAAGGGTTCAAACGGTAGCTGTTGGCTTGGATTTCTCCTCCTCTGAGAAGCACGAACCATTGTTAGTACATCTCCTATATTCTAGTACCAGAACAACCCACTGCTTTTGTCACCCTGTCTGTAATTTCATTTACACGCCCCACTCTAATTTGTGTGTGCACATCTGCAGCGGCTTCATGTTAGCAGGTTTTACTTCTTCTGGTTGGACATGTGTGGCGGGGTTATAGAGGAGACCCAGAGCAGCGTTCAAGGACTCTTCCCTTCAGTAGTTAATGAGATTAGCGGCTAATGCCATGTGAGGGGGAGGTGTAGACTATGATAGGCAAGTCAACAGATCCTGCAGAGCATTGATCAGCTTTGCACCACACTGTGCCAGAACCCAACGTTTCCAGAAGGTTATATAAGGGGATGGGAGATGATTAGTTATAAAGGCCAAGACAAACCAATATATAAAACGGCTAATGAATCATTAAAGAACCGATCAGTGACAGGTTTACATCAGCAACGGCTCACCCTGGTCAGAGGTTTGCTCAGATACGTTGCGAAGACGAAACTTTCTCATGGGAACGCTCCCTCAAAATGTCTTCCTTGCAGATTAATGGCACAAGAATTAAGAGGAAGAGAAATTGCTGCTGAACTTAAACCCCCACGAGTCAAAATCAACAGCCTGTGTGACATCAGGGAGCGAAATTATTCAAAACATTAAAGACTTTGAAAGTCATGTTTATTATCATTCACAGCTTTTTCCCATTGATTTTTACGGAAAACATTGGGGTGTTAAAGGACATTTTTAAGGACACGGGGTAAGCAGAGTGCTGCTAACTAACTAAATTAACAACAAATGATGCAGAAGTCAGACTGTGACTGTGACGGGCTGCTCAGCCTAACTGATCTGCCCTCCAACTCATCAATTACGCCGGCATGAATAAAAAAATCGGGTGCTGGATTCACGGATCTCCTGTTTGTTTAGTAAAGAATGCTCCAGTGTTTCTTATCCGAAAGGAAATCTGAGACTCATTTCTACAAAGTTCACAATATCAGAACAACTCTAATCATTGCTGCTATTCAGATATGGAAAGTCAAAGTCTATTTCTTAGAAGCTTTGCTTCCCTTAGTCCCTTTGCTGCTGATCAGTGAGCACGAGGAAGGAAAAACGATTGCTACTCCAGATCTGTAATAATAGTTCTCTTTTGTCTCATTAAATCTCGTCAGTTCCTTTCCCGCATGGATTAAACTGCACCGTCCATCCGGTCAGCTTTATGGAAGGCTTAACCGTTTGTCGGCCGCCGGTTCGATTGCCTCGGGGACAGATTCCAGCTTGATGTGTCTGTTAAAAGCCAGAAGCCATGGTGGTATGATAAGTGGGAGGTGGTATTTGTGATCTGTCGGGCAGGTACCTGCAGATCAGAGCAGCGGGAGCTGACTATACATAGCTGTGGGGCACTGAGCCAGAGTCACGTTGTCAGTTTACCTCAGGCACGAGTGGAGGCAGTGTCCTAGATACCAGTCACTTTAATGGACTCCACAATCACTACAAAGAGTAAAGCTTTTACCACGTGGACGAAAGAAGCAACGTTCTGCACCCAAACATTTTCCAACACGATCATCATGAATCGTCGCAGTATTATTTAAGAATTACGTCCCAGAGAAAAACAAAACAAGACAAAATATCCATTTCTTATCTCAATTCAGACCTCCTTCTCCAGACTGTTTCAGATTTAGATTTGGGGTTTCAGACATATGGTGGAAAGTGAGGTTAAAGCGGAGACTGACAGGGAAAGATAAGAAAGTTAGGGAAGTTTGGGAAAAGTTAGGGAAGAACACAGAAGTCCTCCGGAACTGCTGTTTCAGGTCCATTTCAACATGTGTGCATTCCGCGATCAAACGCTGCCATTTTGATATGTTACTCTTTATTATCCTGGATTTAGGAGATAACATAATCAAGACAGAGAGCCTGTGTCTAATTAAGCATAAATGAGTCCAATTTGATCATATGGTGGAAATGAAAACAGCTCAGCTCACTTCTGAGTACATTTTCCACTTTCCATCGGTTGCTGCTTCATTCTGCAGTGCAGAAGGCACTAATGAGAGGCTTTCCCCAACATAAACACTGCAGAATACTTCCCGTTTGGCCCTTAGGGTGGTCATCAAATCAAAGCAAAGACGGCAAAATGACTTTCAGGACTAACGCAAACAGCTAAATCCCACGATTTATTTCTACAAGTGAGGCTTTCAATCTTCAGAGGAAAAGACAGAAAACAGCATATCTATGGTTGTTCATTTCAAGTGAAGCAAATCATCACGATTGCAAAATGCTGACCATCTCTAAAAATGTTTCAGCACAGACAGACACCACTTCTCCTCGTGAGCCTTGATTCGTGTTCAAGGACAACAAGAAGCCAAGTAATGAGAGGGGAAAGAAGCAGCTGCATTGGGGTATTTTATCCCCCGTTTGGGTAACAACATCAACAGTTCCCAGTAAATGAACTAATTTATGGCTGAGCCACTGGCTCTTTGTGATAAAGGAGGCATCCAGCAGCAGGAGCTGTGGCTGCCCAGAGGGTGTCCAACACAGCTGGACGTCCAGCTCGGCTAAACCCAGCACTGCTCTGAGTCCATCACTCCGCTGCATTGTGGAAAATCATTCACCCCCGTTTCCAGGGCCTGGCCTGGAAGTCCCGAAGGAATGTGGGAGGAAAAAAAACGAGGGGATGACTTCAACATCTAAGGGATTTGTTTTGGACCGTTATCATTTCAAAATATAGAGAAAAATCCAAATGAAATAGCAAAGCACCATACAGAAGCCTGAAGATGACCACCTGACATAAACACGATGGACTCAGGCTCTTCATTAACTGCTGCTGGGATGACAGTGTGGATTTAGCTCGACATGGGTTTATTTTTTAGCTTTGGATGTGAAGTTGTTTTAGAATAAGTATCCATTAGATCCTCCATTCTAGGTGTGGGCCATGAATACCGTAACATCCACAGTAGCATCCTTTTCCCAGGGATGCCAAAAAATAAATAAAGAGATAAATAATAGAAAACACGGAAATCTGTGGTTAAAGAACAGCCTTTAAGGAAAAGAAAACTATAGAGGAAAGTTAAGTCTAACTAAAATAAGTTATAAACTCCAAATGTCAAGAAATAATGTTATTTTTCGAACAGGTGATATGAAGGCTACATCAAGAGGGATGTAATTGGACGAATGTACAATTAGGACACTCATTAGGTCGTGGTAGGTGTGTAGCTGTTTTCCCACAAAGGCTGACCTATTTTTAAGGCCATCAGAGCCACAAAAAGGAAAATAGTTCATTTATTCCAAAAATGCACATAGCTTTCAGACTGGCCAAAGCAGCATTGCAGTGTGTTAATTTGGGACCGTTTCATTCTGTTTATACTGAGAGCCAAAGACCTAAAACTGTCCTCAGCTTTCCCTAATGAAAATTTTCTGGGTGCTGTTCATAAATCTTGAATCTTTTCCTTTTCTGTTGTGACTAATATAATGATACATTTAGAAATAACAGCACAACAGTGGGTTTTTCCTGTTCTGAGGGATTTTTGTATGAATGAAAGAAAAACGGACTCCCCGGTAACCAATAAACATGCACACATTCATCTGCTCTGTTCAAAATCATTTTCTGAGGCATTTCCATAAACTGTTGAAGAGTCATACCATTAACAACATCAGTCAGAAATGTATTTCTATTTCCCTCAAGAGGTGAGGTAAATAGAGGCCGGTTTTAAGCAGAAAGCTTTGCCTTTCTTAACCATTTTTCTGGATGTTTTAATGTTAAAAATAGGATGTTATTTTCTTACCTTGGAGCTGTCGTCTTGGGAACGCTGGTAGCGTTTCCAGCGGCAACCATAGATGCCAGTGACAAAGGACAAAAAGACCTGCTTCTCATAGACCTGTAAGGGTTGGTGTTTCACCATGCTCCCTCAGCCTCAACGCGCCACCAGTCCGTTAGCATCCCACACAGCACTGGGAACCTTAGGGAAAAGCAGCCAAACACACACAATTACACCCTTCATCAGCGTGCCGTGTCATGTCATGTTGCTGAGATACATTTATAGGTATTTTTACAAAACACCATGAATCTGGTGGGAGCCCTGGACCTTGTTTAGGGTGACAACACCTGCGAGAGCAAGTCAACACAGTATATGATGGTGAGTCTTGTCTGGGACAGACATAATGATACGGTGCGTGTTTCACAGCCACTGACTCAGCGTTTACCCATCCAGGGATTTATGGCCATGGAAGGAGGCAAATAGAAATCAATAGGTCAGGTGGGCAGCATCTCTCTGTGAACACACTTTTTATGAGTTAAACGTCTAAAAAGACCAAATGGAAACAAACCTCAGCAGACAAAACTATGATTTTCTTGGCTTTAAAATCAAAATTGTGCAGAATTTTGTCTCTATACTCTGAGTTCTGTATGGCTCTAATTAGTGTTATTTTCTTATTTTAAACATTACTCACAAATGTAGGTAATTTCTGTCCCAATCCTTAGTCAGAACTAAAGTATTCAGATCTACTGTTGTTCTGTAGAAACCTGCTAGAGACTGAAAAGAGTGAAATAACTCTTCTGCTCGTGGGCAGATTGCTATTATGACCTTAAAGACATTTTGCGTGCCCTGTGGTTGCAGCTGAATGGATCTGCTGATCTTTGGGATCTTTTGGAGCCCGGCCAGCAGCAGCTTGTAGTGAGCTGACATTTAAATGAAGAGCAAATGGTTTGACAATTATCGAACAAACACTTTTCCACCATCTGTCAAAATGTTTGAGGTCCTCTGCGACATTCCGTGAAATATCCAATATCTATTTTTCATAATTAATCTTGTAGAAAAGAAAGTATTCCCCACATATTTCTGTGAAATTAGAATTTCTTCGATTCTTTATCTCAATTTATTTGATTTTCTATTTTATAGGTATTTCCTATAAATTTGTTTGGATTTTTTAAATATGTATATACTTGCCTGGCTATATCTTGTTAATGTGCCATGATAAATAAAGGAACACTGCAGCCTTTCCTCTTAGTTAAATTTCTAGACAACAAATCAATTCCACATTTTCTAAAAGGTGTTATTTTTTATTACAGAGTGACTATTGACTACACGTTGGACATGTTCCAGAAGCTGTAATGACATTTCTATTAATCTCAGCTGTGATTACTGATAATTAGTAAGTATCAAGAGGCAGAAACATAGAGATGTAATTCTCATTTATTACCAAATATGTCAGTACTTCATGACTAAAGCAACTTTCTTTGCGTTCTTTTTTTTTTCTTAGGTACTCTAAAAAGCAGTTACAAATACAAATGTGTTTTTTACTTCTCAAAATAAAAGGTATTTATTGAGTCGTTTGGTTGATAACAGCAATCTAGGGTTCATTATGGATACTTGTGGATTACATTGCTGACTCTTGCACATACATTGTTAAGATTTTGTTCACCCCTTTTTCTTTGTGTCGAATATATCAAATCTTAAAATATTTCAGCACTATAGAGGGACTGGAGCTGGAAACAGCACCTGATTCATTCATTCACTATAAAAAGGACGCATTTGGTCCCTTTTTTAAAGGGATCTATCCACTGATTTCATTGCTTTCATTTTGTTTTAGCTGGAATAAATGGTCATTTCCCTGATAGGTAAGGCTCCGTTTCCTGGTCAACAAGCTTCGACAACACAAACGCTCCTTTGTTGTTATCACTCAGAGGCGACATTACAACGTGGCAGAGGACCAGAATGAATCTGTCTCTGTCTGACAGGGTGCGCAGCGAATGCTCCACTTTCTATATCACAAGCTTTACAGAAGCACAGCCTTAATCAGGCAGGAAAAAACACAGATTCCTCATCAAACTGTATCAGCACTGTGTGGCTGCATTGATTCTCTGAGCCTAATGTTAACCAGAGCCGGTCAACAGGCCCAAGATGTCAGTAACAACTGTATCCCATTCACCAGATACATCCTCATAAGGCAGGACTTTGAGTAACAAAGTGAAATTTGCGTCATTCTGAGGACTCACACACCTTCAAGTGTATCCTCCTTTCTAAGTCTGTTAAAATGTCCACTGCTCAGTTTGTGCTTTGCATTTAAAATGTACAAAGATTTCCAGACCAGGAAACTTTAGAGATTTTTTTAAAGTAAAAAAAACAGGTTAAAATTACTGCATTAGTGATCTGAGCTGCTCTCATATTTAATCTCCGAGCTTTTCAAACCTTCAGCCTCAGGTTGAGTCACACTTTGCTCAGATTACAGTGGGTTCATGGGTAATTAAGGGGTTTCAAAACCCACATAACTGGACCAGTGGGTTGGTTTTCAGACAGCTGAACATCACTTTCAAATTCCAGCTCCAACATTGTTAACTCAGCTTAACTAAACAAACATTTACAGCCCGCATAACACGGCATTTTTACATTCAGCCCTGATTCTTTTCCCCTTTAAGATTGAGGGGTTTTAAGCCAATGTGACAAACAATGACATGCTAGCCCAGCGTGCCACATGTAGTCCAAGATTACAGACCGTCACAGATCTGCTGCTGCCTGTGGGGGATATGACATTCTCACCCCCGCAACGTTTAAACCTAAACACTACTTAAAACCACAGCATTCTGTCTGCATCCGCCTGCATCCAACCTGAGTCCGGTCATTATTTTGTTGCCCTCAGATGCATCAGAGGTTTGCCCTGCACGTCTTCTGTGTAGCTGGCACGTTCCCATCGTGTGCTGCCAGCCTCCATCCCAAAACAAGGGGCAACTGGAGCTGAAATCACAAGGGGCCTTATTCCTGCCAGGTTGGCCCATTGTCTCCCAGAGTAACCATGGTGCCATCGGCACAGAGGTCCAGTCATCGCGAGCTCAACAAGAACAGGACACTTCGCCTGTCTTTTGCTAGGGGGATTTCGGACTTTGCAGAGCAGGTGTTGCATAAGCTGCCGCTGCCTTTGTCTGCTGAAGTCTAATGGCAGCCAGCAGCGGGGACACGGACGGCTGAAAATGTCCAAAAGATGTTTTTTTCATTCCAACCTATGCTGCTTTCGCTTTATGCTGCATGCTTGATTAAAGAAACATATGCGTTGTTGCATTAGCTGCCGCTGTACACTGCATCCACCCTGCAGCAGAAATCATTATCAAATTATTTCAAATTTAGGTTTAGCTATAATGTGAAGTTTAAAAAACGGTTCAGTTTGCATTTTGGGCCTCTGTCCCTTCTACCTGAGGAAGGACATGAATTGATTGGAGGGAGAAGTCCCCCCCCCCCCATGCTGCCCTCCTGTACCCGAAGATCCTGATTCTCAACTTTTCAGCTGGACAATAGGAAATAAAGCGGCTGTGGCCAGAGATGCCCTTTCAGTGAGTGGCTTTGCCTCACATGCTGCTGCCATGATGCTCTGATGTTTGGATGGCACTGGACCGAGCAGAGAACAAAGACTGCGTGCGTCAACACAAAATATCACAAAGGAAGATCTGAGGAAAGTCCAACTGCTGCCGGCTGAAAAAAAAAGGAGGCACTGATGGTGTTTTTCTCAGTAAAATGTAAAACATCCATCCGAAAAACAAAGTGGAACTTGATCCAAAGGTTTTACGTGTCAAAGATTTTTTTTGTCTCATCATTTCACAAACACTGGGTTAAAAAGCATCAGCCACACGTGTAGGTAGGGGCTGGAGATGTCGTTTTTGTGCTACCATAAGACTAAATGATAACTAGAACCTGACAACCATGGAGTAAAGCACTTGACCTTAGTAAATCTTAGCTTTAATCAACCTTCTTTGGGTTTTTAAAAATGTGTTCAGACTGATTCATCTGCAGTAGTTCCCTGTTGTGGCGCTAAACCTCCTCTTACAAAAGTAAAAAGATCCAAATTTCACCTTGAACCACCAGGTTCACCTGACCTCAGCCTACAACAAAACTTTCTCTGTTGCGCTCTCAGGTGGCTCCCCATTCAGCTGGCTCCAGGCCAGTTTCCTCTCATGAACCAGCTATTTACCTGAGAGGATTTCACTACTCCCCTTTCCTATCTGCCAGCTTATGGAAGTAACCTGGTTAGTGTCAGCCTGTGCATTCCTGCTGTGGAGCTGGAACACTTACGCTCAACAGATGCAACAACAATGCAAAAACCCACAGTCTCAGCAACCCAAATGCCCCTCTACGCCTTCTGTTCGCAGTTAGCCCTCCATCTCAGACACTGCCACTTCTGTCTGGGCTTCCAGAGTTAATTCCATCCTGAAATCTGGACATGCAAGCATTAATATTTCTAATCTCTCACTGGATCTGAGATCCCTGTGTGGCAAACGGTTATTGGCCCTGCAGAGGAAGAGGTGGAAGGACACGAGCAGGAAACAAAGCAAAGCGGACAAAATGAGATTAAGGGACGCCCGGCTTTTGTTATCGGCCTGTGGTAATCAGGGGGTCAGAGGACTTGAGACACGGCCAGAGAGTTTGCTTGAGGCTTCGTCCTGCTCGCTGCAGGCCAAGCAGCTCCCAGTTGTTCGTGGCGGCCCATGACTCGAATGATGGGAGCATGACACAGGCTGCAGGATGGTCAGCATACAGATACAGATGCAACACGGTGGTCAGATGTGTCTCTTAATCACTTTTGGAGAAGAGAGGATTCAGGATTTAGCCTGAATCCAACGTTACAGAACAACAGCCTTTAAAAGTTGCCTATATGCAAAGTCCAGCATATACATGTGCAACATTAAGTGTGCTGTCAATCAAAAAATATCCTCAAGGGGGAAATGTTCCTTGTTAAATCACTTGAAACCAGTTTGACATTAAATTCATTATAGAGATCGTTGTTGTTGCTGTTTTTGGAAACCTTATCAAAATACATGTTTAAATCCACTAAAGGGAAAACTATACTGCAAAAGTAGTGATGTGGTTTAAACAACATTTGCATTATTAGAACAGCGTAAACCGGGATCATTCAGCTCCAACTCCAAATGATCACACTTCGGGCCAAGACAGATTATATGAAGATAATCCGATAAACTGCGCACAAACACCTACCTCGCTTCCTCTACAGCCTTTTTATCCTGGATACGGCTGAAAAAATAGTCAAAACCTCGCGGTTAATCGCTCATTCCAAACGGATTCTCTCATAACGACGTTTTCTTTGCGGTTTGGGGGATCCGAAAGGAATTGAAAGTTACTGTGAGCGGCGACCCAGCTGCGCGCATCAGCCTCCTGTGACCACTGAGAGCGCAGACCCGGAGATATGAGCTTCTGCCCGCAGCTTCTCCAAAACACGCACAAAAAAAGTCTTCTGGGTGTTCGTCCCCTGAATAAGCACGTACCTGAGCGCTCGAGACTTGAGTTACAAACTGTAATCCATGTGAAAGGACGTGGGCGGAGCTCAGGCACACTGCAAATAACCCGCAGCCTCTTCCGCTGGGAGACGCAGCCGCATGGCGCGCACGCCTGGAGAAATGCCTTCTTCTTCCTATGTGACCATTGGAAGGCAGTCAGGTCATTGCACCTATTGGAAAAAAACGTTTTTTTAAATCTTTTTCCACATATCAGAAACTATTTTATTTCTATTTTTATTTGCAAAGGTTTTCAAGGCTTATTAAAGGGCTTGTTCGACTGTCAACGACTACTTTGGAAATGGGCTTCATGGAATCTGACTTCGAGGTAAATCTCTAATGGATAACTGACGACAGTGGCCTAAATGAATGAAAGGTGAAACTTAATTGGACGTTGTGAATCCTGACTGGGTTCATATCAAGTTGCCTACTTCATGAGAAGTTTGTGTAGTTAAAAACAATGATTGAATTTTGGAAGCAACAAAACACACTCCCTGCCCTCCTTTCTGCAGAAATAAAGTGAACTGGGCCTAAACCTTTTCCCCAAAAACATATATATGGATGCATGCATGCACACATACATACACCAGGAGGGAAAGATCAAAGCATTTTAAGGGAGAGAAATTAATCAAACTTCACCGTGGGTTTTCATGGTGAGCGCTGGGTACCACATTAAGTCTTTCTTGGAATTTACCAACACTAAGGGCGGTGCGGAGAGGGGTGAGGTGGTTCACACCATAAGGGACATGCGCTTTAGACTGAGCGAGCTCAGTCACTTAAAAAATGATGGTGAGTGCTGACAGCAATCCATCTTTTAGTTCTCAGGTTTCCCGTATCAGGACAGAAGATTAAAAGATCATGACCATAATCAGGTCAATGCAAACCATGATGAAAAACACCACATTATCTCTAATTTTTTTGTTTTTACTAATTATGCTGCAAGAGTGTGTGCAAAAAGAAGTAAATCTTTCCTGCTTCCCAAGAGCAATTAAGAGGATTAGCATCAGCCAGGTGCTGCCCATCAGACCGATTTCCCCCTATGGTCGAACAGAGAGACTGCAGAACACTAAACTAGCTCTGTGACACTTCAGGCCTCTGTTAGCATGCTAAATGTCGGACTTCAAGACTGTAAAATAAGAGAAAGAAAGAACTGGGATTTCTTTAAAGGTTTGCCAAAAATAGACTCTTTACCATAAAAAGAACAGTTATCTGGCAGAGTTTCCATCTATCAGCACGGAGGTGGAGGGCTGATGATATGGGCTGGTTTTGCAGCCACAGAATATACAGGATACCAAAGTATTCAGAGGCAAATGTGGCAAATTGATGGAGCATGAATTTTGAGAGCCATGCCGTGGACTGAATGAGGTTGCTTACAACATGCTAATAATAAGTAATATAAATCAGATAAAATCTGCCTTTCCAGGAGAATAAACTCTCTGTAAACAGTGTTACCTCGATATGTGATCTGATATCCATTGATCACCAGAAGGATTTAGGAATGACTTTTTTAACTTCGCACCACTACTTTTTTGGTGTGTGAAACTATGTAATCACTTTTGGACAAATTTTATCCCCTCTCATCTGCCATTATATCATTCAAGCCACTCATCTGATTGCTCTTACATGTGTATGAGTGTTAAAAACTGCTGTCTCTGCGATGCCTGGACCAGAAGAGGGAACGAGGCAGAGCAGACAAGTAGCTTCTTGTGAGAGAGCTATTCCAGGCCCCGCAGTCACAGATTAACTGTTGGCTTGGGATAATTACAGCAGATCCCTTTAATCCTCAACAATTTAGCAGAGGCAGAGGAGGTCCCTCATCTCCTGGCTCCTCAGCAGGTGGCATGCATGTATAGGTCTGTTGTCATGGAGGACACACATCTCCTTCTCAGGCTCTATTTGTTCCTATAATTCAGTTCATCACAACATGATTTTATCCAGTCTGTGGTGGTAAGAGAATGAAAAAAGAGGGGGTGTGAATGCTCCTTTTGCTCCATTGATAGACAGTTCTTTGTCATCCCCTAGTGGTCAAGGATAGGGGTAGGCCCGAATCTGTAAATTACTCTTGAAATACCTAATTCTGCCACCAGGGGGCGCCTGGGCCCTCTGTTCGGCGGGTCTTGCAGGGGTGTGCAAAATCTGCGAGGTAGTGAGAACACCAAAACACAGGAACACAAGGAAATATATTTGGATAGCTGGAATAATCCAGGAAATGGAGAATCAATGCAAAAAGAAAAACATTGTTTTAGTGCATTAAATTGAAAATGAATAAAAAATATTAACGAAAACAGGAAATGTGCCGGATAACTTTCTCTGAATTCAACTGTGCCAGTTTCTCTGTGTTGGATTGTTTTTAAAGAACATCTTTATCTTCTATCGTCAAAACAAAGTCCTGCACAGACATAACACGAGGTGCTCGACATGCAGGGTCAAAACAGGCTGTTTCTGAGGAGGGGGGGGGGGGTTACATCAAGGTTTCTATGTTCTCCTCTCACAAAGCTTAATATGATTTAACTGTATCCCACTAGTGGGTGACTATATGCATAATACAACTAAATGCTTTACACTGATGTTCATGCCATTGTGATAATTGTAATGTATTTTCTCATCTGACACAATCACATTCTTTTACATTTCTGATGGGCTTCATATAGGGATGGCTTTCCCATCAGCCCTAAACCAAATACAGAAATAATGTTGGCTTTGCTCAGGATGCACATCCGCTGCTTCGGACACTTCCTGCTGCCTGATCCACCTCCAAACAATAAGCAGCTCTCAAGTGGGAGGAGGATACATAAGTTGGAGGAGAAAGAGAGAATAATTTCTGCTGGAGAACAGAGCTCCAGTTACAGAATCAGATAATGAGGGCACTGGCACTGCTAATGAAGGTGGGTTTTCATAGGCGCCATTCTACGATAATCAAAGAGCAATGTGTTTCACACAGCCATTTGGGAAGGCCGTAAATGCAGTGACTAATACTACACAGGATGTCCACCATTTGCTACAGGCCCACAATGTCTCGGGCATTGTTTCAGGCTTTAGGACCTGGGGGGCGTCAGGTTCCTCTCCCTCTCTGCTCCATATGGGTGGGACTGGAAATAAGACTCCAGAGCAGAGATTTTCATTCACTGACACTAAGTTGGATGTTTCTTTCACTTTACTCTTCTGTCATCCGCCATCAGGCACAGTAACTTCTTGCACAGCAGGGGAGTGCTGGGGAATCTGTTTGCATTCATCAAGAAACTTGCAGGATTATTCAAAGGATCCGAAATGGTAAGATGAGGGTTTTGGGAGTATGGGGGAGGGAGAGAGTCTGGGCTGCAGTCAACTGGTGGGAAATGCCCAGGCATGTGGAAAAAGACAACAAAGTCTATCCAGCCGCGACGTGCTTGAGTGGATTTGGGGTTATTTCTAAGTTGTGTGGTTGGTAGACTGGACTGGAGAGGTCTGAAACACAGGAAAAAAGTTTGTGTCTAAGTTTGTAGCAGAATGAATGAAAGTCCAGTCATGCAAGTTTTCTGCAACATGGAGCACAAATTACATCTCCAAAATGTCACGAGACAGTTACTTTCAATTCATTTACTGTAAAGTCCCCTGAGAACTGTTTACAGAGAAGGAGGCATCAAAACAGTCACTGGAAATGCAATCATGCGCTAAAATAAGACGACCATGAACTCATTTGACATTTAAAGGAAAAGACTATAGTTTTGAAGTGTCAGATATGTAGTAGCTGTTCAGATAACAACTCTATTCTGTTCTCAAAGCTGCTGCCAGCAGCACAGGCTTTGTGTGATGATCCAGCTGTCTGGGAGGCTACAGGGTGCAGATTTTTGCTGGGTTCAGGAACACGCCCGTTTCTACGTGGACTGGAGCAAAAAAATTTGACTCCGCTGGCACGTTGTTCAGCACGTGGCCACTTTTCCCACACGCCAAGGAGCCAATCACAATCCACCCGTCATTGCTCGGAAAGAGAGAGCTTTAAAAAAAGAAATAATTTTGCTTTGCCAAGACATGAACAACTCAGATCAAGATGACTACTGGTTCAGCTTAGAAGGGTCCAGCAGATGCCTACGTGGCTGTTATGTAAGACTTGCCTTGAGGGAAACAGGGCTAACCACACAATGGGTTTTGGTATTTAGAGTAAAAATAGAGTATATGCCACATCATAATTTTCCTGATTGGGATATTTCACAAATTGACTGATGTGGTAATAACTCCTTTTAAAGACATGTACAATCTCTGATAAGAAAATAATTAGAACTAAGTGTCATTTGTTCAGCACTTCTATTGACAATGCAGCAAAGTTCTTTACAAGGGGACACAAAGAAAAGTAGATCAGAGCGCAATAGGAGAATATCAGACTTGGCTAAAGGCTTTTCACAAAGAGGTAATTTAGCTCACTGGGAGCAAAGCTGCATGAGAAATAAGATTTTTAGATTAAATTAAATGAAAATGATGCATGATCTAATTTTGCTTCAAATTGCAACCTGAGAATAATTAGCAGGACACTATTTGCAGACCTTAGTGGTTAGGAGGGAACATACCCGGTCATAAAGAGTGAGAAGTATTTAGGCCATTTAGGACTTATAGATTAAGAAGCAAGATTATAAAATAATTTTTGTGTTCGCTGACAGGCTTTTATTGGTCACCGCCGCACCATGTGGATAACAAATCTGTTCCTCCTCGCTCTGCTGGGCACAGCAGCCTCAGCTGCCACCTCTGCATCAGCAGACAAAGTCTTGAGCAACCACGCCACCATCTTAGCTGACAACAGCGCCAATCTGGCTTTCAGCCTCTACCAAAACATGGCCAAGGAGAAAACCATTGAGAACATCCTCATTTCGCCTGTGGTGGTGGCCTCCTCTCTGGGCCTGGTGGCTCTCGGGGGAAAGGCTTCCACTGCCTCTCAGGTGAAAACCATTCTGAATGCGGCTAAAGTTAAAGATGAGCAGCTGCACTCTGGTCTGGCCGAGCTCCTGACCGAAGTGAGTGACCCCAAGACCCGAAATGTCACCTGGAAGATTAGCAACCGCCTTTATGGACCCAGCTCCGTCACCTTTGTGGATGATTTTGTCAAGAGCAGCAAAAAACACTACAACTGCGACCACTCCAAGATCAACTTCAGAGATAAGAAGAGCGCCGTTAACTCCATCAACGAGTGGGCGGCCAAGTCCACCGGCGGGAAACTCCCCGAGGTCACCAAGGATGTTGAGAAGACCGACGGGGCCATGATCATCAATGCCATGTTTTTTAAGCGTGAGTGCACAGAGCGGCTTGCGTGTCGCTGCGGTTTTAAAGTCACCCAGAATAACTCTGGCATTTTCTCGCAGCTCACTGGGATGAACAGTTTCACCATCAGATGGTGGACAACCGTGGCTTCATGGTGTCCCGTAGCTACACGGTCTCAGTCCAGATGATGCACCGCACAGGTAGGTGGAGGAAGCCTCCTCTAAACATCTGCTACTCTGAAAGATATTTTCCATTTTGACAAACGAATGAGCGATTCAGGATGTTTACATACGCATTATATGCTTCTTCCAGCTGTCTTTAACTTTTATGAAGACAAGACAAATAAGCTGTCCATTCTGAGCATGCCCCTTGCTCATAAGAAGTCTACTGTGGTGTTCATGATGCCGTCCCATTTGGAGCCTTTGGAGAGGCTGGAGAAGCTCCTGACCAAAAAGCAGCTGGACACCTGGATGGGGAAACTGCAGCAGACAGCTGTGGCGGTTTCCCTCCCAAAAGTCAGCATGGAAGTCAGTCACGACCTGCAGGTGAATCATGCAACCATTTCCATCCTCTAGGTTCGGCTTTCTCAGTCTTTCCGGATCTGAACTGAACATTATCTGTCTGCTCCTTTTAAGAAACACCTCCAGGAGCTGGGTCTGACCGAGGCTGTGGACAAATCCAAGGCTGACTTGTCCAACATCTCTGGGAAGAAGGACCTCTACCTGTCCAGTCTGTTCCACGCCTCTGCCCTTGAATGGGACACTCATGGAAATGAGATTGACACCAGCATATTTGGCTCAGACAAGCTCAAAAACCCCAAACTGTTTTACGCAGACCACCCTTTTATTTTCCTGGTGAAGGACCAGAAGACGAACTCCATCCTGTTCATTGGCAGGATGGTCAGGCCGAAGGGCGACAAAATGAGGGATGAATTGTAACAGCCCGTTTGCCCTGAATCTCAGTTAACTGTCTTATTGTGTGAGTGTAAAATTTCTGCGGCAGTATACTGAGAAAAACAGGAAATGAAATGCATGGCTGAGACCACACAGATGCATTCCTTTATGTCACATGCTCACAGCATTCCAGTGAAGATAACCTGAGAGCAGATTTAAGATTGAGGACACAAAACACGATGCACACTTCCGGTTTTTAGATAATATATACAATAGTTTTAGAATTGTCTTTTGCACCAAAAGCTGTCATTGAACTTGTTCATCTATAATTTCCTGATGGGAACTTTTGCACATGAAATGGTTTGTTATCACATCTGTGTGCACAGCACTGTTACTTTTCTAACAAAATAGTTTGACTCTTATGTTCCCAAATCTGCATATTTTTGTATGAATTTGATTAACTACTGCAGCTTACAACGGGTCTTTTCCTTGGTTTCAATATGCCTGGAATTTAATAGGGGCTTAACAGTTAAACCTGTTTTCTGGCGTATTTAACACATTTTGTCTGTTTCTCACATGTGCACTCATGTTTTTGTGTTATAAAATATAAATGGTCTGTGACACGTTTCCTGTTTTTTGCAATAAAAGAATGAAAGAAACAACTACTGAGAGTCACTCTAGAATTAGAAAGCAACCCTTTTTTCCCTTTATTGGCTCATAGCAGCCATTTAGCCATTGTCAGACATGTTCAGGTCAGGTCCCCAGTGGCCTTTTCACCTGAATATTTCTTCTTTGTATCCTTGAGTAACCTCCCTACTGGCATTTTGTAATGGATTCTACAGACCCGACAGCCTGCTCGGGTACATTTATTGTACATTGTTGAATAAATATAGATTTTCCAGGTGGGTTCATATTGGCAAAAGCTGAAGTCGTTAGATGAACAGTTACTTATTTAGTAAACAAAAACTATGATTTGAAAGCTGGCTTGGTAGGACATGGTACTGTACTTGCCACTGTTTCAAAGTCTTCTTTAATATTGCCTGGTGTATCACGCCATCTAGGGGCCAAATCGATTTACTGCTGTGCAACTATATTTGAAGGTTAAAAATCTCAACTATACAATAATCTTTTACTTTTGTATTGTTATTTGTTGTCAGTTACTCTACTGTAAATATATATACATATATGTATAAGATAGATGTACTGACTAGCATAATTCAAACCCAGGAGTTCAGTAGGTCAAGCTGAGAGAACACGTGTTGTGTTCTCGTTTAGATATGCACAGATGATTGTAAAACACAGATGAATCCGCAATAAACTAGTAAATTATGGCATTAGAGCTATGTGAATGACAACAGGGGTTGGAAAATGGAAGAATTTTCAAGTGAGTTCTTCAAATCAATGTGAGCACTTGCTGGGCAACTGGAGTTTTCTTATCACGATTATTTCTAAACCGCAATAAAGAGGGTGTTTCCAAGGAGTTATTGTTAGTCTACTGATATTTCAACCTGTGACCTTTAACCTGACCCCCGTAGTTCTTTTTATAGGTGATGCATTGTAAAAATCAAGTAAGTATACAGAATATAACACAGTTAAACTGTATGGTTCGGTGTCTTTCCTCTTGTATCTGATCTTAGAAATATCTGCTTTTGGATAACCACACACTTCCATTTTGTTTGTATAAATGCTGCACTAAATGTTTTACCAAAGGCCCATAATGCATCTCATACTGTTGCATGTTGCTTTTGCTTCTTTTTTTAAAAAGATGTTCCTATCATAATGTCAAATCAGTAAAAAATGTTGCTAATTATCCAGAGACCTGAAATCTTGTCATTTATGGGTCACAGTGTATCGTTCAGGATTTTTCTTTTTTGCACGTGTGAACTTTACTACAATATAACACTGGTTAGATAGAAAAATGATACATATTTTTCTTACTGGTTTGTTCTAAAATGAGAAAGGAGTGTATCCAATTTGCATGAATAATTGCATGAATAATGTTTGCAGTAACGCCTTAATAACACTCCTACTGTGACTAATATGAAGACCAGTTCTCATACTGACACTAAAACGAACAGCTGAGCTCACCAGTGTCCCTTCCTGTTTAGGTTGTGTTTATTGTCTAAACTACACTTCTTATCTCGGCTGCATCCCGCGTGAGGAGGAGGAGGGCTCGCGGAGCGCTCGCGCTCTGTGATGGGACTACAGATCCGTTAGTATCCGGAGCTTCCTCTGCTTCCATCATGGCTCCCTCGCTGGACCGACAAGGATACTGGGGGCGGCCGACCTCCACGCTGGACTGGTGCGAGGAAAATTACATCGTCTCTTTTTACATCGCGGAATACTGTGAGTGAAAGGTTTTCCGAGTGGTTTGCGCCCAAAACGGCGACGTCCCGGGGGGGCCGTTGACGGCGTCTCTCGGGTGGGAGAGTCCATAAGTGTCGGTGCGGTCGCCTCTTAATAACGTAAACAACCTGCTGCGGACACGAACGGCGGCCGTACCGTGGACCGAGTGGGTCCGTGACACCGTGGTCACTCCTCGTGCTAGCTAAACGTTAGCCCAGGCTGCTCTCACCAGGGAAAATACTCAGCCCTTTTTTACCTGGAGAGGCGGCCAACCTGCCCCGGGGTGGGCTGATGTGCGTCCGGCTCCTCTGGAGCTGACGGGTGCTCACGGTTGTGAGATAGCTCGCTTATCACAGCTCGGCTAAAATGACCCGAGAGCTCCTCATTCTCAGTCATTTTTACAGTCAGAACCGGCTGTGCTTTCCCTGCTGAGGAGGCGCTTCCTCCATATTCATGTGCAGAAACCTGATCAAACGCGGCCCTCGTTCTAACGTGTCACTTCCATGCTCTGACCGCTGATAAAAACGTTTTTTTTCCGGAAGTGTTATCTATGATTTTAACGCTGCTGATGCTGGGACATGGGATTTGCCTCCTATTGTGTTACACTTTCTCATCCAGAGTAGCTACAAGCTTGCTGAAAGTTTTCTGATTGGTATGCCTGTGTGGATGTGTGTGTTGTCAGACAGCCCAGCGGAGCAACAGTTAGTCCAAAGAGAAGGAAAGGCGACTGTGTCAGAGGTTAGACGGCTGCTTTTGCTGATCATCCATCTTTAATCCTGCTGTCACCTCGCTTCACCAAAGTGTTTCTGAACTGGGAGCTGGTCTGATTGCTGTATCCTGACAGTTGAAGCTTTTGTTTGCACTGATGACACATCCCGGCCCGGCTGCCATTTAAGCTGCTACTCATGTGACAATGGCTGGAATGTGGCTTTGTTCCTGCTGCACAGAGGTACCTCCACACCTCTGAGCCTCATTTTGATGGGCGCTTTTGTGCGTTTCTCTCTCTGTTTTGGCCTCGGCGAACTGTGACCCCTCACGTGAGGTCACCGCAGTGAGCCTCACAATCGGATGTTCGGAGTTATCGCCGTGTGCCGAAAGCTCCGGCCACATGCCGATGTGCTGTTGGTGTTTGTGCGTGTGTTATCAGCCATCTGAGACGTTTGTTTTGAAGCGGCAGCTCCAAGGACGCGTGGAAATGCCTCAGCCTTTATCTGACATTTACCGATAACGGACGGCGTTAGTTCAGACGACAGCAGTGAGCTGCACGAGTGGTTTCCACCACTTTTGATTGTGAACTTGAGTGTTTTCCGCATTTGGAGTTGCACGTGACCTCATGTAGAGCGAGCGAGGTTCTGATTGGAGTCCGGTGCTCTATTGCCAAGGCCCAGAATGATGTGAAAGCCACGGCCGTGGGGGAATAAGGCACACAAACACTGGAACCAGTCCAGTCAAAGGGCTTTCTTCAACCTGAATCTGAAAGATAGAAATCAGCTGACAAACTCTGACGATTAATCGCCCCGCCCTTCACCCGCAGGCCCTGACTACCCGGCTGCCACCCACATGCGCCGCACTGGACTTAAACACAACCTTCGCCCTGATTAAGCCTGCTCCACAAAGCAAGTTCAATATACCAGGATATCTTTTTGTTATCTGACTGCAGCCAAACTAATAAAGGCAGCGCCGCTAAGCTGGCTGACACTTTGAAGTGGGAGGGGAGCGGCAGCGTGCAAACAGTTACAGGTGTAAAGCCGAGAGTTACAGACTGTTGGAAAATAGCATGTTAGTTTAAAACAATACAGTTATTTATGTTTAAAGCCAGAATGAAAAGTTGGCAAAGAAATGAAGAACGCATTAATAACAGGTTTATTAAGGTCTTAGTTCCATTATGAAGGCAGAACATGTCTATGAAACAGGTTTAGCGTTGTGCCAGAATCGGCATCACCTAATGAATGCAGCACACCTGATATATTCAGTTTGGCTTTTCATTAACGGGTTTGTTTTTCTAACCTGGGGCTACATTGTCATGGCGGAGACCCAGGAGAACATCAGGAGGCCTGGTTAGCAGTGACAGAGCTCATGTTGAACAGGAATCTTCTGAAAGACTGAAGAATGTCTCTCAGCCTGCTGTGATTATGTTTTTAATCCACGTGTGTCACTGACTGAGTCAATAGTGCTCTTTGAAAAAAGAAAATGACAAGAAAAAAGTCTCTTGCTTTTGGTTTGTTCTGTTTTATTGCTTTCATACATCAGAAAAATGCCCATTTTCTATCCTCCAAGTCTGAAGGCCACTGCTTATAGCTCAGTTAAAGCACTAAGAGTGATGGAAAATTATTAATTGAATTAAGAAGAGGTGGAGCTGCCCACCACACATCACAAATGCATTACAAGCCACGTTTTTTGTCTTTTTTGAACAGGGAACACTGTCAGCAACCTGATCATGATTCTTCCTCCGATCTACGGGGCCTTCCAGACGTTCCGCGACGGCCTGGAGTTTCGCTACATCTGCTCCTTCCTGGGGCTGGCAGGTGGGTGCGTTTGGGGCTGGCAACAGCCTCTGACTCCACACATCCGCGAGCCCGTCCAGACCTCTAACGTTTTTCTTTGGTGCCTCCCAGCTGTGGGCGTTGGTTCCTGGTGCTTCCACATGACGCTGCTGTATGAGATGCAGGTGGGCTTCCAGTCAGCCGAACTGTCCGAGGTCAGAACATCGTGCACTGACGTGTCCTCTTTGTGCTTTTGCAGTTGCTGGACGAATTGCCCATGATTTACAGCACGTGTGTCTTCGTCTACTGTCTGTAAGTGGTGCTGCCTTTTGGCGTATTTTATTTTTAGAAGAGTAAAGAAAATGAGTGACCGCTTTCACATTTATAACCTGCTCTGGTTTGTTTTTATTTTTCAGATATGAGTGCTTCAAACAAGAGAACACCATCAGCTTCTTTCCCATAGCGTTGTTATTAATCTTTAGCACATCAGTCACTTTGGTGAGTCGGCCTCTTTGTTTCCCAGTAATGATCGTTTGTGGCTGTGACCTCCCCCTGAACAGATCTCCTCCTTCCCGTCGTGCAGGTGTACTTACAGTGGAAGGAGCCCGTGTTTCACCAGGTAAGGGAGTGCTCCCTTTGCTCATTGTTTGCTATCAGGGCTCAGTGAGCTGCAGGTCACATTCAGCCTGTGCAAACATTGGGCTTTCCAGCACAGCGTGCACACTCTGGGCCGCACTTGAAGGTTTGCCAAACACTCAGTGAGTGAAATCATTCAGGTATGGATGTTTCCCACATGGTGCTGGCACCTGGACGGGCCATTCGGGTGTAATTGAGCCACATTTGCACACATCTGTTATAGACTTTTCCCTATCCTGCTGTGGTTTTAAGCTCATAAAATAAGCACCTCCTGAAATTTACATGAGCAAATATGACCAAGCAGGCGTGTCGGCTGAGCACCCAGCAGTTTGTTTAGTGAGTGGCAGCACATGTCGGGAGCAGCACCACAGTGGGCCTGGATGTGAGGGAGAATGCCTTAGTCATCCTGGGACTTTGATATCAGTTTAAAACTTCCAGCAGTTTGAGGTGACTGTGTGGAAACACTGATATTTTCTTGGTGTTTAGGGATGTTTGCAGATAGATCTGTGACATGGCTGAGAGACAGCAGCAGCTGGGCCCAAAATGAGGCAGATTTAAAAGATTTAAAAGCTTCTCAGTGTTGAATTGTCAACTGCACTGTAAAGAAAACCTGAAACTACCCTGTGTTGAGGAAGAAATCCCATGTTGAGGTACAGAGACAACCCAACAGAGCTGGTTTTGTAACGATAGGACCAAACGATAGCTTTGAATTGTTACCAGGAAAATGGATAATCCCATAACCACAGAGGCCCAAACAAAACCTCCTCTTTTGTCGCGGTGTTGGTGGTGACCCGTCGGCACAATGGGACAAATCTGCCTTTGTTAAGTTTTTGGAGCTGGATAAGTTGACTAAACACCCTGTTCTGTGGGGGGCTGTGATAACCTCAAGTAAGCTTGTGTTATTTGAAAGATTTTCCAGCTGTCATTTGTGTGCTGATAAGAGCATCTTCTTGTTTTAGCCTGAAGCGTTTTGCTCAGCTTTTTACTCTGATTAGTGCAATTATTATTAGGCTTTTAGCTCAGTTTGATTCAGTTTAGGCCGCAAAGAGAATCAGAAAAGAATCTTCCACTCATGTAAAAATGTATCAAAAGCCTTGAAAGCAGACGCCTCCAGTGATTCCTAAATATCTTTCACACCTGACTCCTCCCCGTCTTTTCAGGTCATGTATGGTGCTCTGGTGGCGTGCCTAGTGATGCGCTCCATCTTCATTGTTACATGGTAAGTTTGCCAGCAGTCTTATCTCCATACGAAAGAGACATTTCATTTGATAACCAGTGTTTTTCTGCGAGGAAGCAGGAATAGAAAGTGTTTCTACTTCATTTTCAGGGTATACCCATGGCTCAGGCCGCTGTGTTACACCTCTTTAGGCATCTTCCTGCTGGGCTTTCTGCTGTGGAACATTGATAATATCTTCTGTGACTCATTAAGGTGAGCGGTGGGACAGTAAGCAGGACCAGCCCTCACCCATCATTCACGTGTTCATTCATTTTGTTAAAGTCGTCATGTTAGGTGAATCAGTTTTATGATTCCGGTCTTTTACATGTTTTGCTATTACAAGAGATTAAGTGATTCAAATTGGTATAGAATTCAGATTTTTCCTTTCTGATTTCTTCCCGTCTCAGAGCCAGCAGAAAAATGCTGCCCCCTGGTGTTGGAGTGGTGACACAGTTCCATGCATGGTGGCACATCTTCACTGGTTTGGGCTCCTACCTGCACATCCTTCTCAGGCAAGCTGCCTCTGGAGATTGTAATAGTCTCTGACTGTGCTCTCATTGGTTAAAGCTCATTCTAATCAGACCCTCTTCTTATAGTTTGCAGATACGATCTACCTACCTCAAATATAGACCAAAAGTTAAGGTGGGCGCAGCTCCACTATCCATGCACACGATCTTTTGGTGGAGTTTATGAGCTTTAAGACTATGTTTGGGTCTCCCCTTGTACGCAGTTTCTGTGTGGAGTCTGGCCCACGTTGCACATTGAGCCACAAAGGATGAGCTGAAATGGAGGGATGGGGAGCAGCTGAAGGATGGTGACTGCCAACTCCAGACGCCAGTGGCACAGGGACCTGCCAGAGCCGCCCTGCCCCTGCTGGAGAGCCAGCCCACAGCCAGGCAGGTGGACCCCCCAGCACCACCCCGGGGACCCCGCGCTTTTGGATTATGGGGATTACCTCGCTGCTACTACCTAGCGCTGAATCCAGTCTCACGAGATGGAAATTTTGTTCGTTTTTTTTTGTTTTTTTTAAATCTGTCGTAATTTATTAGATTAGCTCTTTTTGTAATTTTATTGAAGTGCAGTTATTTTATTTGCTCCACTGGAATGGTGAAAATTTGAAGGGATCATGGTGTCGCTGTGTCAAAATCCACATTTTTAAATGTTATTATGATATTAATAATGCTAATAATCATCTCTTAAACTAAAACGTATTTAAGTATGTCCAAGTTATCACAAAATCCTGAGAGGTCTGCTTGAAACACACTGCTGTGCTGTCCCACGATAATGAAGCATCACACTGTGAACCTGGGATGTGCTCACTCATTGATCAAAGGCTTAATCCACTTCGCAGCACCTGTTTTAACAACTGGAACGCCACACTTTTAAAGATTTTGTTGCCAAAGCTGGGCTGGGATTTAAAACTGAAGTATTGAAGTCTTGTAATTGTTTATTTTGCTGTTGATGTGAAACCGCAAGACACTGATTTTTAGTTTTTTTTTTTTTTTTCCTTTTTAATTGTTTAGGTTTTCCCTCTTTACACAGAACAAGTGCGTCTAAACTTCACTGGGAGGGCTCTGGGTTTCCTACCTGTAGTAGAGCGCCGGTCAGAGCACAAAGTCCTGACCACTGAGCTAAAAGCTCCCGGAGGAGGAGTGGACTTTCCACCGTCTAAACAAATCACATTCACAGCAATAATGTGGGAATAATGACGCTCCCCCTTCAAGTGACCCGCACTGCTTCAGGGCATCTTATTTAACACAATATTTATTAATCCCCTCTCCTTTTTGTGACGCTAAGCTGCTCACTGAGTGCAGACGCCATAGAGGAATACCTCTGTAAAACAACCACTGGGGGGCGTAAATGTTCATCCTCTGGCTGCCCGGCTCTGAAGAACTCCAAATTACCTACAGGCTCTCCATGTTCTGTGGTTTAGAAAAGAGGGGCCTTTCTTTTCTATCATTTGTTCTGCTACTGTGAATGTGTTTTAGTCAGATTGGAGGACTCAGCTTGAAGTAACCGTTAACTGGAAGCTCTGCACATCGTGCGGGAATTATGGACGAAACCCTCGTAAACACCCAAAGTATCTCCTGAATCGACACACACATTTTTCTGCAATGCATCGGTAGCCAGAGGCCCAGTGTTACAAACATTCAGAAGCACAATTACTCAGAAAAAGTATTTGCATTGTCCAGATGTGTGTGTGTTAACTTTCTACTGTTTTCTCGAACTGGCTGCTCATCAGGAGAGCGGCCAGCTGTCAAAGAGGGTGCCTTATTGTAATCCTTGCCGTGTAATCCAAGTTGCCTTGATGTTTTGTGATACACTGTTGTGTTTGTCCCCCTCCCCTGACTGCGAGCGGCCAACAGCGCCAGGAGGAAGAAGGGAAACAGTTCATGACGCAAAGGCTGCGCCTGATTCTTTGGCCTTCCGTTCATTTCACGAGTCCGACCACTCACACAGCTCTTAAGAAGTCAATAGTCGACACAAAAGCTGATACTTTCATGTGTTCTCAGCCAGAGGAGTCGATTCTGTCAGCATCCCTTAGTTGATCACGTCTTTTTTGATGTCCTGTGCAGTCCAATAAAGGAAAACATGTCAGACTAGCATGTCGTCAGGTGACTCATGTTTGGTGCCTTAAACTGACTCACGCCGCCAAAGGGAGCGGCAGTGATTTGAAATGCAGCGCAAACAGGTGTCACACACAAGGAAAACCTTACCAGCAAACACACTTACACAGAAATGCCTGGAAATGTGGGGCTCAGTCTTTGTGAAAGCGTTGTAAAAGTGTCCTAAAACAGTTGCCAAAGCTCACCATGAGGTGATCAAATACTTCATCACGCAACCCACTCTGCTGAAATGGAGGAAACTGACCACTCCCTCAGAGAGCACCGCTGTTCTTTAACCTGGTCTCAGACGGAAGGCTGAACCAAACAACACAGATAAGCAGATATATGAGCCACTGATTTGGCTCCTTCTGAAGAACCCAAACTGAACTTATCAGGACTGGAACGCCACACCTTGAACGATAACTGCTTTTCTCCTCCTATTATTTATTTTCTTGAATGATCTAAGGTTGGTTTTAAGTATGAACAGGCAACAGTTGCAGGTTAGAAATCTGCTGAACCGTCAAAAGCTGCACGACAATGACATAAAACTATGGCTCCAGTTAACTAAGAATAACTATAAGGAAGCAAAGAGAAAAGAAAATAGGAATTTCCTGCTCTAATTAACTACAGAATACATAACATATGTAACAAACATCCTGCACTCGGATTAATCTGGTTCTTTTAGACGCTTCTAATACCAGCTTTAGGTTAGGTTTTAATGTAGTTTTTAAAACATGAGTTTTAGAAATAATAAAAGTTAGTAAAGTCATGAAACCCTGAGGGGAAAGTGAATTTGTTCTGCAGGTGCAGTCTGGGTAAGACTGTCCACCCGCCCTGGCCTGGAGAATCAGTCCGTGTCACTCAAAGCAGACACGTGACGGGTGGAGTGCAGCTTATTGTCGGGCCGTTTTTGTTGTGCAGCACTTTTCAAACACAAGGCGATTCAAGGTGCTTTACAAGCACTTAGAAATACGTTCAATAAAGTCATAAAATGAAGTTTAAACTACATCTGAGAGCATTAAAAGCGGGCTAACTGCAGAAAATGAAAAAAACAAACACTAAGCAGTTGCAGGTTATTCTATATGAAGTTACTCATCTACTCCACTGGTCAGCTGTAAACAGTATGTTTGCAGCCCTGATTGAAATGAGCTGACCCTTTCAGCTGAGCTCACATCATCAGGTGGGGAGCAAAGGAACAAAAGGCTGCTTCACCTGCTTCGGTTTGGATCCTGGGAACACTAAGTAAACCGGTTCCCCATGATCTGAGGGGCCGGGGTGCTTCATGGCGTAAGTAAATCAGAGAAATATTAAAGTCCAGGAACATACGGTGCTTTGTAGGCAGCAGGTTATAAGATTTCCAAGTCTGTCCTTTGACACACAGGAAGCCAGTGTGTCCTGGTGTTGGTCAGGACTCAGCGTTCCGGACAAGCTGCGGTGGTCTGATTGATTTCTCAAACTCAGAACTTAAAACACCCCGTTGCAACAGCCCAGCCTGCTGAAAGAGACGCACAACGGGGTTTTGCTGGAGCTTCTTTAGTTGGAAATCATTTAATGCTTTTAAGATGGCAGAAGGCAGATTTAGTAAGTGTCTCTGTGTGACTACTGAAGTTTAGGTCAAAGTGAGCGCTGACATCGGATGGTTTTTCTGTCACAGACAGCAGTGTTGTCTGTGTTTCGTAGCATGATTGTCTGGCACATCCGTGGAAGGTATCGTGTTGTTGTGACTGACTGTCAGGCTCTCTTGGCATTTTTTCCATGCTCTTCAAAAAGAGCAAGTTTAGACAAAAGATAATGGCGTCCATAAGAATCCCCACATTCCTTCCTTGGGTTTGACAGTCCCTGTCAACGTGACATGAACACCTCCTGCCACTTGTCATGTGAGTTCCAACATGTGTCTGTGATGATGGGGGGGGGGGGGATTGTAATTGAGCAGTAAAGACAGCTCAATTATGTCTTTTACCGCAGCTACAGAAACATATTGTAATGCAAACTGTAGATTGCGACAGATGTGTCCTGATCTGCGTTTGAATGTTCCTCTCAGACTGTGTGTGCTAACTGTTTGTGACTCCAAGCCTCCGTTCAGCCGTTGTACAACAGCGTTGGCATCATAGTTTTATTGGTAAGCGGACTCCAGGGCTGGCCAGCTGGAAAGTTTTCTGACACACTGACAGGAGCTATGTGATGAGTGTCATTTTTTGTTTGGTTCCCTCAGGACGTCCACGTCCTTTGACTCAGAATGACATTGAACGACTGATAAGTGCCTTTGGGACCAACTAAGAAGGCGCCCCAAACGCTGAATCAGGGTAATCTGGGCAATGCCTCGTTCATGAGATGACTCACGTCGGAAATGAATCAGCTGGTACGTCCTGTAAAATCAGCCGGTGTGAAGCACCGGGTGCTGATGTCCATTCTGCATGGAGTTGCTGGGCAGTTTCCTTTAAGCTGCCGGAGCAGGATAGCGCAGGCAGGCAGGTGTCCCAGCTGAACACGTAGAAGGCTTCTGCACAACGTCATCCATCAAAAGCTCTCCTTCTTGACATGCTTTCAATTAGCTGGAGACTCCAGCATGTTTCCCAAGCCCACTCTGTGATTTCCAGGACTGAATCAGGTCTGTCTTAAACACATAGCTGCCCGAAAGCCTTCCCAAAATGACACTGAGAAGCCTCCAAAATGTGGGGGTGCTGCGTTTCTGTGAGGCTCCACAGGAGTTGTGTCTTTGTCCGTGAACAGAGAAGTTTGAAGAAAACCTGAGTAGATTTCCAGTATTGTAATCCTCAGTGTGGCCTCTTTATTAAAGCATCCTGTACGTGCGTCTTTTTTTTCCTGTCAGTGTGAGATCTGTGGAAAATCTGGGAATTCCAGAGAGTGGCACAACACAAAACGGTTTGTTATTATGGCTAAAAATAAACACACTTCACTCAGTAAGAGGATGACTTATTCTGTTAACGTTTTGGGTTTCTGTGTGGGTCCTCTGTGTTTTTTTAAACAAGAGGTTGTAATGAAGAAGTTGACATGAAGGAGGAAGTGCAAATCCACTGAGCTGTGGTTTGTCACCACAAGGTTTCCCAACTCAAGTGTTTCACTCTAATTAAGGCTTAAGCACCCAGTTCAGGAAGGAACTTAGTGTTCTACCTTTGTCCGCTGAACCCTCTCTTCTTTAAAAAAAACTATTAAAAAAACTATTTCTGATAACACAAGGGAGATTTCTCGATTTTACTGAGAAAATAGCTTGACTTCTTGCTAAAAAGTCGGTCTTAATATATACACAGCTATATAATTGCAGTCTCTGTGGCTGTGCAAGTTTAAAACCTTGGAAAAGAATAATTTTTCTCAGATTATTACGTACGTTGGCCCTCGGCATCCCCTATCGGACCCCGGCACCGGTATCCCGGTAGCTCCGTGCCCCCCCCCCCTAAATCTTTAAGATATTTGGTTGAATCTGCTTTAGTTTAGATTCTCATTGGTTTGTTTTTAGTCATGTGACTTCTTTTTAGTCATGTGACAAAAACAAGGAAGTGGGCGGGCTACCG